TGTGGATCTCCTTTTACAAAGCACTGTCATGGGTCTGTGTGCCCAAGGATGTGGCTTACATATTTTATTGTATTCATGTATTATTTTCTACTTTGTGACTATTAGCTGTGCTAGGAAATGAAGTGACTTTATAAGTACATCTCATTAATGTGAAAACCAACCAAACTCTCTCCGACAGGGCAGAAGGTCGCTGGGAAAGCACATGGTGATGGATGACCGCGGCCATGGACCAAGAAAACAGTTTCAACAGCCAAATCACCTTCTCTGTTGCCTGCTCCTAGAGCCAAATTCTACAGAAATCAGTTTTGTTTTGTTTTTTTATCCTCACCACCAAATTTACTAAGACGCACCTCTTCCCTCATAGAACCTGTGTTGCTTTGCCTGGGATATAGGATGTTTTACTTACTGGGTGTCTGAATTTTAGGAGGGAAACAGTTTATTTTCCAAAACAGTATTTGTAATTTTCCTAACATTTTTATACTCTAATAAAATTTGTTCGTAAGAATTCACAATTACTAAATGAAAATATAAAATTGGGGACTAATTGATATCCTGATTTTTTTTAAAGGAGAACGTTTTCATTTTTTAATGAGATATGGTCTTACTTGGACAGTAGACTTGGGAGATGCTCCTTAGCCAACTGAAAGGTTGATGTAGTGTTAGGTTGCCCATCCTGGGTGAGGTTGGTTAGCTCTTTCTTTAGTTCCTTTAGTTTACAATTTATAATTGTGTTTGTAGCTCTTAAAAATGTGCTTATGCCTTTAAAAAAATGTTTAAAATGTGACCTACATTCAGAACATTGCAATTGGTTAAAAACAAAATGTGGAAATACTACAACCTAAAAGAATTAATGTCACAAGTATTTTATTGGGGTGATGTGCCTTTGATTTAATTGGGGACACTTTTAGAAGGAAAGTTTGTGTTTATAATAACCTTTGAAGAACTTGGAAATAAAATTTTTGCCTAACGCATCATTTTTCATGACAGCAGTATTTTGCATTTGGTTTTGTCTTTTGGGATTCCATGGATTTCTGTTTGCTGCTGAGTCTCAGGGCTGCACATCGTGGGTGGCATTTGGGTTTGAAATCCCTGCAGACTGTCTCCAAAAGTAGATGTAAGCATAACATGAAAAGCAATCCCCAGTTACCAGCCACAGCTGTTCTCTGGACTAGCTCTGTGTGGCACTCCCCCATGAATAAGTAAGTGGGAATACAAGACCGTCAGCCGGATTTCCATGGAGAAAATGGAAGCCCTTCCTTAGCTGAGGCCTCCTTAATTCTAAGCATCATTCCGATATCAGTGAATTGGATTCCATACTAATCATAATGTGGGTGTCCTTTTAAGGCTTCTATTTTCTGTTTAATCTTGTCTGAAATTTTACACTGTCAATATTTTTTCTTCTTCAACCATCCCTTTCCTATTATTAGCATTATATAGGTTCCATTCTCTATCTCAATTAACAAGAATTTTAATAAGCGTTCCAAATTTCCACTAAAAACAAAATTCTCTTTGGATCCACTTTCTCCCTCAGGAACACTACATGAGATAATTGAGAGAAACTGTAGACATTATACAGATATAAATGTCCCGAATGTAAGCACATCAGATCCAGCAGTGCATTAAGAGAAGATGGCGTGTGGAAGCCGGGTTAACATAGGGGATCTGCCCGTGTAATTCACTGCGGGAGTTGAAGAAGGGACCCTGGGCCAGAAAGTGAGGAAATTCAGCCCCTGTTCTCGATTTCTCTCTCAAACATGGAGGATGAAAACTGCCTTATGGGTTAGTGAGACTGCCTTGCAAGCTGCTGAATTCACAATATGATTTTTAAAAATTGAAAACAAATTATGGAAATAGCATACTGAAACCTATTTGTCTGCAAACTACAGAACAAGTGAATGCTGGTAAATATCTTAGGGGATTAGATCATTGTAACGTGAACTGCTAAACGGTCTGTAAATAAAACCCAGAGCAGATATTGGGGTAAATGTTGAAAGATCAGAGAGACAAAGAAACAAGCCTCTGCCACATCTGACCTCTAGGATTCCTCAGCTGAAAAGCTTTAGTTCCTGTCTCCTCACCTTATATACCTTTCTCTGCCCACCATATCACTTCCTTTTTAGTGCTGGGATTAAAGGCATGTGACTTCCCAAGCAAAGGCATAAGACCTCAAGTGCTGAGATTAAAGGCGTGTGCCACCACTGTCTGGTTCTGTTTCTCTCCTAGACTGAGTCAATCTCATGTAGTCCAGGGTGGCTTTGAACTCAGAGATCCAGATGGATCTCCGCCTCCCGAGTGCTAGGATTAAGGCTGTGTGCCACCATTTACCTGGCCTCTATGTTTAATCTAGTGGCTTGTTCTGTCCTCTGATCTTCAGGCAAAATTTATTGGGTACATAATACATCACTACTACTCATTATATTAATTTTTCCTTAAATGTACCAGTTATATTAATGAGGGATTATATTAATACATGACTTGTCGTGGAACTCTCTACTCTAGGAATTGAACTCAGATGGATTTTGATTTATTTTAATTGTTGCTAGTTTCCATTTGCTATGGTAATCTTACATTGGAATGTTTGCACCGGTAAAAGTGAGGTTCTGTAATTTTCTTTTTTGAAGTGTTAGATTTTGGTATTTATTATAGTCATTACAAAACATAGTGTGGAGATGTTTTTTCTAGTGCTATAGAAGAGTTTAAGTAGCATTAAGTTAAATTAAATCTACTCATTAAAAATAAGCCATAGAGCTGGGCAGTTGTGTCCCAGGCCTTTAATCCCAGCACTCGGGAGGCAGAGGCAGGTCGATCTCTGAGTCTGAGGCCAGCCTGGTCTACAGAGTGAGTTCCAGGACAGCCAGGGCTACATAGAGAGACCCTGACTTGAAAAACAAACAACAACAAAAAGCTATAGAAAAACGGGGTTAGGAGCTTAACACTACAAAATTTAATCAGTGGTAAAAATATAGGAATCTAAATCTAAGCAAAGTGGAAACACACTTTATGGCCCTAAGCTGGTTAAGAAGAACACAGGGTTACATATGGCTTCATCCTGAAAAAAGACCGACATTTGCTTCTGGACTTAACAGCACCTTGCGCAGCCCATGTAACTGCTGATTCCAACACTTTTTGTGTGAGGAAAACAACAAAATAGAGGTTATAGACAGACAGTGGAGAACTGGGAGGAAAGGAGAGGATGCCGCTGCTCACCAGACAACGGCTTGAGGCCACTGAGCCCCTGGGAGCATGCGTGAAGCCTCACCCCGGCTTTGTGCCTTCCTGCCAAGCACGTTTTAGTGGGTGCAATGCTCTGATTTCCTTGGCCTTTTTTCCCCCTCCGAGACAAGCTTTCATGGATTCCTGGGTATGTATCAGACTAGCTCTGTAGTCAAGGATCATGGCCTCTTTTTGACTTCGGCGTGCTCAGTTTATGAACTGCTGGGAACTGAACCCAGAGCTTTGTGAATACTGGCAATCGCTGTACCCACAGAGCCACTTCCTAGAACCTTGCCATAGGTTCTTGTGAACAAAATCATGCATCAAAAAATGAGTTCATTCTTGCTCAAGTTTTCCCTATATGTGTAAATGTTTTTGAGCAAGCTGGAATTGTCCATTTTCACTATGTTATGGACCACTTCCTGTCAGAGCACACTTACTTTCTTTGTAATAGTTTCAAGGTATTCTATACTCTAAGTTGTTTACTTTGCCATCTCTCCTGGTAGCAAGTTGTCTATAACTTTTACCTATTACAAGTAGATTTCATGTTATAGTTGATAATTATTTAATATAAACTCTTAGTAATATAATTCCTGAGTTAAACTATATAGTCACTTTACATTTTATTATTTAGCAGTTGCCTAAACTGGGCCCTAAAAGGTTGTACAGACAATGTAGGAAAGTAGTCTTCTCTGACATGCTGTCCCTGGGTATCTATTTTCAACATTTTTGTCACTATGATAGGTAAAAAACAGTGGTTGATATAATAGACAATAATCTGTATAATGAACAATGAAACTGCTTTCCCTAATTGTTTACAAGTTAGTCTTGTTCTGAGAATTATCTGTTCAGATATTTTACTTCTCCTATTAGGTTTCTTTTTCCCTCCAATTTGAAGGGGTGTTTTGTATATTATGCATGTGAGCTTTTTCTACACTTGAGGTTGCAAACAGTTCCTTTTAACTCCTGTTTCTAACTTGCTTAGGGAAAACAACATGGAGCTTGTCTGGCTTCAGTTCTGCACTTGTCTGTGGTGAGGTCCTCACTTCTTGCCTCAAATCGTAAGACTGTGATGGGGTGGGGAGCCCAAGAGAGGGCTCGGGCTAGGAGTGCTTGTTGCTCCTGCAGAGGACTGGAGGGTGGTTCCTAGCACCATATCAGGCACTCACAAACACCAGTAACTAAGGCCCCAGGGGCTCTGATGCCCTCTTGTGGATTCCACAGGCACTATACTCAATATGCACATACCAACACACAGATACACACAATTTAAGTAAAGAAAAATTAAATCTGAACAAAAAAAGACTATGATGGAAACTTAGGGCAGCTCTGGCCTCTGGTTTCCACATGCATACATATAAGTGAAAAAAAATCTGAAAAGACAAAACACTTGTGAAGTACACATAAATTTGAATACTTTGGGGGTCTTAATGTTTATTAAGCTAATTGACAAATCAGACAGTCAGATTTTGATGCAAGTTACAGGACAGAATATATATTATGAAAATTGGATATATGCTAGAAACACCAAGGACATCTAAAAATAATGGTATTTCTTTGACTATAATCAAACCTAAATAATTGTGTTACCGGATTATCATAAAGTAGAATCTGAGCTGGGCAGTGGTGGTGCACGCCTTTAATCCCAGCACTTGGGAGGCAGAGGCAGGTGGATCTTTGTGAGTTCGAGGCCAGCCTGGGTTATAGAGTGAGTTCCAGGAAAGGCGCAAAGCTACACAGAGAAACCGTCTCAAAAAAAAAAAAAAAAAAAAAAAAAAAAGTAGCATCTGACATGTGGCATTGTCCTTTCTGTTCTTCATAAAAACTTCAGCCGGGTTTGTCCATCCACTCTTCCAGGGACTTTTTCATATGTTAGTCGTTGTTTTTTGGGCTGTGGTACTTGTGAGTACATTAAGCCTGTCAAAAGGAGAAAGAGGAAAACCACTTTATTGGGATAAGTAACTATGAAAAATAGTTATTTTAAAAAACATGAATGCAGCTGGGCAGTGGTAGTGTATGCCTTTAATCCCAGCACTCAGGAGGCAGAGGCAGGTGGATCTTTGTGAGTTCAAGGCCAGCCTAGTCTACAGAGTGAGTTCCAGGACAGCCAGGACTGTTACACAGAGAAATCCTGTCTCAAAAAAACAAAACAAAACACCAACAACAATAAAAACCATGAATGCACCTGTACCTAATGGCTCTGTGTCTAAAATCAGTACATACATAGATTGTGTGAATCATTCCTTATCCCCAGATTCCATTAACCCCTTCTGTGAAGTTATACAATCTCTAAAAGTCTCTCTTGGTTCTAATATTTTTAAATAAAACCACTGGAAATAGTTCAGGACGCAACTCAGGCAGGCTTCCTAATTCCTGAAGGTTTCCAGCACCTCTTCACAGATTAGAATAAGTTCAAGGCTTACTCCGGTTGACTTTGAACTCACACAATGCTCTGTTCTTTGTCTCTGTACACCACTGAAACTATTCATATTGTATTCAATATGCTTCCATTTTATTAGCTGTTCAGCTTTCATTCCACCATCATTATTTAAAACTTTAATTAATTTCTGCATGTGAAGTGTGTGTGTGTGCGCGTGTGTGTGCGCGCGCGTGTGTGTGTGCTTGTGTGTGCGTGTGTGCGTACGCGTGTGTGCGTGTGTGTGTGTGCGTGTGTGTGTGTGCGTGCGTGTGTGTGTGTGTGTGTGTGTGTGTGTGTGTGTGTGTGATGTGGAGGTCAGAGGATGACTTACTGGAGCCTGCACTCCTATCACCATTTAGGTCCCAGGGATTGGTGGCAAGTGCCTTCATCTGCTGAGCCATTTCTCCAGCACCCTGGTGTTTTTAATACGCCATGTTTAAAAAACAACTGCTGGTCAGTTATAAGTCTATTCCTGCTCCTGTATTTACACTGGAAAAATTATCCTCAGTCCTAACATATGACAGGAGGTGACCAGGAATGACTCACTTTATATGAACTTATTATATATGACATATTAGCTTTAAATGCCATAGATTTGAGCCCTTATAGAGGTTGACTGACTGGATCAGTTTTTTAAAAAGAGGTAAAAAATTAAAATTTAGTAATTATTCCTGGGAGTATTACATCAGAACTTCATGAGCTAGGTGCCATTATTAGTAAGTTTAAAAAGAAATATAGTAGGTAATTATATCAAAGATATCACAAGTACACACATACAGGGCAAATGGAAAATTATCTTAGAGCCTGTGGCTAAACTTCCCATGACTGTATCAATACTGACTTGAAAAATGATGTATCTTAAACATTCTATGTTGGGGGATATTCAATCACACTGTGAACCCTGAGTTTGAATTTGCTTTGATTAAATAAAATTAGCCTTGGTTCAGGAGGCTGAGTTAGCAACTAGTTGACAGACAGTAATCATAGAGCACTGGAGGACATCTGGGAGAGAGACACACACAGGAAGTAGGAGGGAGGGATTGGAGTGGCCCGGCGCAGAAGCACAGGTCTTTCAGGGATGCCAGCAAGGAGAGGTTAGCTATCTGCTACTCAATCTCTCCGAGCTTGCAGGTTTTCACCCCAGCCTTTGAGTCTCACATCTTATTCATAAATAGAATGATAGAGATTCAGTTAAAGCTGCCTTTAGCAGCAGCGACAGGGCCGGTGCCTGCGGGAACAGAATTCCCTCCAGGCTGCTGCCAGAGAACAGGCCGGTAACTGAAGTGGCAATTGCTGGCTGAAGTAGCAGTCAGTTAAGGCACAGCCCCTGTGCCGGAGATAAAAGAACAATTATATGTGGACACTGGTGTGCCATGGAAAAGCACATTCAATAAGCCACTATCTGCCCCAGTGACAGTGAAGACAGCACCATCAGAGACTTGTGCTAAATGTAAGAATTATTTTGTGCAAGTAATTAGAAGCTAGAAAAATGCCCTAAACAGAGAAAACTGTATTTAGATGATTTAAAATACATTGTTTAGGGCTTGGGGGACGGTTCAGCACTTAGGCGCTTGCTGTGCGACGTGGACCCGAGTTCCAGCATCCATGTGAATATGGTGGGCGTGGCAGTTCCAGCACTCAGAGGCTGGACGGTTCCTGGAGCAAGCTGGCTCGACTAGCTGTATTTTCAGTGAGACCTAGGTTCAGTTAAGAGGCCACCTCACTGGACAGGTAGAGATGGTCAAGGGAGACTCCAGACATCAGCTTCTACACACATGCGCACACATGTGCATATACATCAGTATATGTGCACCTGCACGTGAACATTCATACATACATGCACACTTGCCACAAATATACACATGCAAAATAAAATTAGTTATTCAAAACTAAATGAATTAAAATTTACATAGATATTTCATCAATAGGCCTACAAGTATTCCATCAATAGGCCTACAAGCAACAATGTCAGAATTTAGAGACACTTTCTGCAGTTTTCTTATGGAGAGAATGGGAGAATTATATAGGGAAGTGCTCCGTGTCAAGTGTTCATAGACTTCACAAGTATAATTTATTCTAGAGTAGAAGGATGGGGTTTGATCTGGTTCATTTATAAAGTTGCTGTAACAAAGTATGCATGCACACACACACTCGCACACGCACAAACACCATCAGCTAAATGCATGACTCTTGATAGGAAAATCAGAACTAAACAGCAGGAACCATATTAACAGTGTCCCTATGCATATACACAACAGGACTTTATTCAGCTTTAAAGAAAAATGAAATCCTAACATGTGTACAACAATGGATAGAAGTGAAAAGGATGTTAAGTGAACAGTCAGGTACTGAAAGACACTATGCCTAGTATTCTCTTATGTGGTGCTTGAATGGTCATTTGTACATTTATGTACAGGGTTAATGTAGGGAAAAGGGGCTGGTTAAAGAAACCCACCCTGACCCTGGAGCCCAGAACTAGGGAAAGATGGCTCAGATAAGGCCAGTGAAAGAAACATAGTTTGGCTCAAATCAGAGTCATTTCTGCCCCTGGCCAACTGACTTGTGAAACCAACCAATCACAGAGCAGGACAGTAGAATCCTGGCCCTGGGGCCCAGGACCAGGGAAAGAAATACAGCCTGGGTTTGGGATGTGAGCCAGAGAAATGAACCAAGGAAACATGCCCTGACTCTAAAACCAGTACCAAAATAACACTCTTGGTCCCTAGAATCAGAGTCAAAGAAATGTGCCCTGGTCTTAGAATTAGTGTCAAAAAGCTAAGTAAGGTCAGTGAAAGAAACACAGTTTGGCTCAAATCAGAGCCATCTCTGCCCCTGGCCAACTGACTTGTAAAACCAACCAATCACAGAGTAGGACAGTAGAACCCTGGGCCCCAAGCAACCTGCCCTGCCTGGTCAGTTAGAAAAGAGCTGTTCTCTCCACCTTGGTAGAGGCAGCTACTCTCCTGGACTCCTCCTTCCCAAATAAATCTCTTTCTCAAAGGAGTTTTGGGTGTGAAGATCTTCATTCACTGGCATAGAGAAGACCCTTGCTGAGACATCCCTCAGTGGACAGAGCAAGGAGGAGCTGAAAGAGCAGAAAAAGTAGCACTTTCCTCCTGAGCCGGAGGAGATTGCTACATTTTTATAATTTCTTAGATGGGAGAAGCAGAGCTCTGCTAGGAAGCCCTCTTAAGTGGGGGCTGAGCAAAGCTCAGCTGTAGCGGCTCTCCAGGAGAGGAGCAGGACTGCTATATCCTTCAGGGAGACCATCCCCCATCACACCAGGTATAGCCTGACTTTCCCGAACAGTCAGGATACCCTTCCCTGCTGAAGCAGTTCCAGGTGTGACTCTCCTGAGCAGTCAGAAAATTTCCCTTCCAGGGTGGGCTGTGTCTTTGCAGCTCCAGCCATCAGAGCTGTGCTAAACAGCTCCAGATGTCCGGAACATCTCCAGGAGAGAGCTGTGCTAAACAGCTTGAGGTGTCTGGGATACCTCGCCCTCCAGGATTGGGCTGCCTCTTGGCAGCTCCAGCCATCAGAGCTGTCCTAAGCAGCTCAAGGTGTTGCTTGACTCCCAGAGTTGCAAAACTCACATTTTGGTACCAAAACTGGGGCCAAACCCACAGAGTTACAACAAATTTACTTACAGTTAGTACAGGTCATCAAACTAGGGAAGGGACTGTAAGGGTAAAGAGACCTTCATAGGGGTGGAGATAAAAGAAAGTGATATAATAATGTGACACGAGAGCAGGAAGGCTACTGGGTGGGGACCACAGGGAGCCATTAGGAGGCAGAGACAGGGCAGGGAAGTGGGGAGGGTGACCATAAGTGAGGTTTAGGAGGCCCTCTCTTAATAAAATAGAGAGTGTGAGGTTGTTTTTCCTGGGCCCTGCTCTGATCTTTTGAAGGAGCCTATGAAAAAAAGTTTTGAAGCTTAAAATTTTCTTCCTTCTCATTCCTGTCTACCAGGAATGAGAAGCTGTCATTCCAGCTACCTGTCACAGCAAAGCCACATTCATATGCCTTATGAGATCTTAACATTTTATTCTAAATGTTTAGGGTAATGCCATAAGAAATTATACAGAAAATAAAGGCATTATGACTGAGAAAACAAAAGTGTCCTTTTTAAAAGGCGAATGATAAAATGTTCAGACAAGTAAAAAATATCCGTCAAAGTGAAGCTGATAGGACTTCCTCTCTAATAAACAACTCAGAAAAGGTTTACCTGGGATCTAGCAGTGTGTGTGTGTGTGTGTGTGTGTGTGTGTGTGTGTGTGTGTGTGTGTGTGTGTGTGTGATGGCTAGAGGGTCAACTCAGGTGTTGTTCCTCCTCAGGTATGATCCATCCTGAATTTTTTGTGACAAAATCTCTTCCTGGCCTAGAGCTTGCCAAATATGCTAGGCTGGCTGGCAGTGAGCCTACGGATCCACTTGTCTCTGCCTCCCAAGTGCTGGGGTTCCAAGCCATGGCCACAATGCCAGGCTTTTGTATGCGGGTTCTGGGTACAGAAGTTACTTAGGTCCTCATGCTTGCACAGTCAGCACCTTAGGGACTGAGCTGTCACCATCCCCTAATATCTCAACCAATCTTAGCCAAATAGATTTATGTAGCTGACAGTCTGATTCCTCTGTTTAATCCTGATCATCTGCTTTACTTAGGTTTGCTATTTTTATTTTAATTTCTTCCTTTTTTCCCCTATTTTGTTTGTCTGTTTTGCAACAGGGTCTCTCTATGTAGCCCTAGTTGTCCTGGAACTCACTAGAACATCAGGCTGACCTCAAACTCAGAGATCCTCCTGAGTGTTACTTTAAACTTAAGTTGAAGGTATGGTTCATTTGAGAATATTTAAGAATTTGAAATATTTTGTTAGGCCACTAAGTTTGATTTTTCTCTTAAACTCAAAGATAACTGAGAACTTTAAGTGTAGCAATTAAAACAAAACATTCATTGAAATTTGATTATAGCATTATCATTTTAAAATGTTTTATTATTAGTTATGTATTTGTGTATGAGTCTGCGTGTGGGTATGTGCATGTGAGTGTAGGTGTCCAAGGAGGCCAGAGGTGTCAATATCCCTGGGAACTTGAGTTACAGGTAGTATGAGCTACTCAAAGTGGGTGCCAAGAACCGAATGTGGGTCCTCTGCAGCAGCTATAAGCACTCTTAACCACGGTGCCATCTATCCAGCCCCTAGCTTTAGCTTGTAAAATTATAACTAGAAGTTGTATCAACTACTAGTGTTACCTGTTGGTGTTTCATAATCTCCCCAGTTAGATGAAGATACAGGGAGCCTTCTCTGTCCTAAGTAGTTCCCAGCTCTTTGGTAGAAATTAAGGCCATTGAATCCTCTTTGGTTTACATTAGAATCAGAAGCACAGAATGAATCCCAGCTGGGGACAGAAGGCAGTTCTCTCCAAAAGGTCTTGTCAGTGCCAGCGGTTGAATTTCTGTATGTGAAGTGTTTCAATTTAGCCGACAGACACTCTGGCTGATTACTGGGTAAGTCATTGTTTTGTGGGTACCATTTGTTGTAGGAGGTCTGTTCTGCTCCACAGCTTGAATTGAATGAATAAGTCTGTTTCCTGTCACCATTGTTTTTAAAGTCCCAACAAAGGTAGGATTGAGAGCCCTCTGGTAAAAACACAGGAGTGGACACTTGCATGTTTCTGCTTCCTTTTGCTTTAGGATAATTAACAAAATTATGAGTAACTCTCCTCTGAGTATCAGCTGGTGACATTTCAGGTTCACAATTTATTTGTGTTAGGCCCAAAGAAAAGACACCTGATTCTGAATCATCCTGGCTTGGAAAGGAATGCCAAGTCACTTTCTTTGATTCCTTATTAATTAGAAAAGGGTTATTGTGCACTGTGTTAGGACCACAAATGGAGTCTTTCCAGTAGCTGGTCTGACTGTGAGATGCTGCAGACGGCAACATGCTCAGTGTTTCTCTTAGCTCCATAAGAGAAGAGCTTGTGCCGTCCTGCACTGCCTCTTCTGAGTCTTCATAGGAATAATATTCCTCATGTTCCTGAATGACAGGAGCTGAACTCTGAGAAATAAAGGGATTAGTTTCATTCATATCCTCCTGAAGTGGTGACATTCGAGGTGACATTGTCAGGGAGGAAGAATTAATCTTGAACAAGGAAGTGATGCTACAAAAATGCTGAAAAATTAAAAATAATAGTTTAATACAGTTTAGAAAAGAAAATGATGCCTAGCTAAATTCACAGATACTACATTGAGCCACATACTAACATAAAAATAATTAAACACCATTAAAAGAGAACATTGTAATTTGCATCTATTTTCTAGTAGCTTGCAATGGAATTTTAATAGTGTTTTTAGAGATGTTCTAGGTTCACAACAAATGCAGTGGATTTTATTTTAGTTATACAAATTATACACGAATAATTCCTTGATAAGAATTTAAAAATATCAATAAAGCTAAAACTCTCTTCCCTGCTATGGTAAAAGACATTAGGATTTTTGGAAGGGGTAATGCAAACACATGTTAACTGACTATTTATGAATACAATATTTCAAAATGCCTTAAGATGGCCTAAACTGTACTGAGTTATCTATGATAGCTTTGAAATGTATAGCTAACAGCAATTCCATATGAAAGTTAGTTCAAGTAAATGCTTTCTTTCCTTTGTCCAGAACAAGGCTGGACACCATCACTTAGCAATGTCTGTGGTGCAAACACGTAACTGAACCGGGAATGTACCGGGGAGCCTGTGTTATCACCCACCTTCAGAACCTTGCTGGGAACCTGGGGCAGGAGTTCCTGAAGCTCAACGGGCCTTGCTCTCAGTAGCCAGTGCAGGGAAGGTGCTCTGTGTAACATGAGCTGAGCCACCAGTGGATTAATGCATGGGAAGTCAAGGAGGCTCATTTCTTCCTGCAAAACAGGGGGGTCTCCTCAGGCAATGGTCTTTTGAGAGGGACCTATTTTAGTCTATAGATTAAAATTTGTCCCTGAATTTCTAACAATTGGGAAGCATGGAAAAAACCATGCTATCAGGAAGGGAATTCAAGTGTTCATGGTTTTTTGCCTGACAGGTATCAATTTACGCATTTAGAAAAAGTAACCTTAGACGGTGAAACTTGAACCCAGGATTTATCCAACCACTCATGAGGATCTCTCTTCGACATCATTAAATTGTGGTCTGCAATTTGTCGAATTGTTAAAGCTGTCTCTTCTACTCCTGGGGCAATTATAAGCTAAAAAAAACAAAGCATATGTTAGATTGTAGGGGAATACTAAGGAGTGAGATGTAGCATTTAGAAATAGTTTGAGATTAAAGGAAAAAAATCTAAGTAGTGAATTTTTCATCATCATCATCTTGTATATAATTTATTAGTGTATGTATTTGAAACCCATGATCTTTCATTTGTGAGGATAACCCAATCAGTTTTCTTTCTCTTTCTTCTTCCTCCCTCCCTCCCTCTCTCTCTTTCTTCATTCCTTCCTTTCTTTCTCTTCCCTTCCCTCTCCTCCTTTCCCTTCCTTCCTTTCTTCCTTCCCTGCCCCCACCCCCAGGACTCTTTATATAGCCCTGGCTATCCTGAAACTTACTATATAGGCCATATTGGCTTCAAACCTACAGAGATCTCCCTACCTCTGCCTCCTGAATGTTAGGATTAAAGGCGTGTGCCACCACACCTGGCCCCTTCTTTCTTTTAATATTTTCTATTTTTGGAATCCATTTTTCTTCACTTTAATTTGGTATTGACTTACAAAGTTTTTAAATTTTTATTTAGTGTTATATTTCACTTATAGAAGAGCAATTTGAAAATCACTGGTACTATTTAATATTTTGCTTTTTCTAGTAGTTATCAACTGAAAACAAGAATAAAAATACTGTGCAATAGTTTTCAAAAACAAACTTAAACATGAAAGATATTTGTACATTAATTTGATACTGTGTTAAAAATAAGACATAAGCCCTGCTTACAGAAGCATACCTGGCACTGTCAATCTGAACAAGGGTCCATGGCTGGGGAAATCAAAGGCTCCAGGGGTGAACCTACTATTATTATTTTGCTAAATGGATGTACTATCAAACTGCCCTCTATAATCATGTCTCTCTACCCACAGATTAGTGCAGCTCTCAGACCTCATCAGAGAAATTTCTTTGTGCAGTGGATGGTGATTAATACAGAAACTCATGACTGGTCAAAGAGTGCAGAGAATAAACATCTGTGGAGTGCTCAGTCACAAATGGGACATCCATGTCACACCCTTCCCAAAGGCTCAGTCACAAATGGGAAATCCATGCCACACCCTTCCCAAAGGCTCAGTTACAAATGGGACATCCATGCCACACCCTTCCCAAAGGCTCAGTCACAAATGGGACATCCATGTCACACCCTTCCCAAAGGCTCAGGCTCATAGAGGGGCAAAAAGACCCTAAGGCCAGAGGACAGGGGAGACAGCAACACAGTGTCTCCTGGACATGACATGGCTGCTGTTGTTGCCTGAGCAAGATCAAGCCAGTCCACATTCCAGCATGGGCAGAGGGGCTCACAAGCCCCATCCCTAGCTGAGTCACTACGGATAAGCAATGCTTCTCAGGGAGGGAGAACTGATTTTCTTTAGAATGTAGTCCCCACTAGGTCAGCCATGCTCCAGTGGATGGCCACACATGGGTATGTGTGCAGCACAGATTAGACTTGTGGGCTATTAACAAAGACATGAAGTTTGGAGGGTGAGGAGGTGGACCTAAGGAGTTAGGAGGAAGAATGGGAGGTAAATACGATCAAACATAGTCTATGTATATATATACAAAATTCTCAAAAATTAATGTCCATAAATTTTAAAATGTCTTGATTTTGAGTAGTCATTCTAGGGGTTGGGGATTTAGCTCAGTGGTAGAGTGCCTGCATAGCAAGGGCAAGGCCCTGGGTTCATTCCTCAGCTCCGGAAAAAAGAAAAAAAAAAAAAAGAGAGAGAAGTACTCACTAGGGTGTCAGTGGAGAGAGCTAGGGAGGAAGAAGCACAGTCATCATCCAGTGTACACATCCTCAGATCTAAACGAGTAGTCATTCTAGTTGGTAATTGTTCATTTAATCTTAGCTTATTTGATTCTAAGACACTCTTGTCAAAATTGTGTGTGTGTAATTTCTGAGCTGGAGGGATGGCTCAGTGGTTTAGAACACTTGTTCTTGCACAGGACAGGTATAGTTCCCAGCACTCACATGGCAGCTTATAACAACTGTAACTGCAGTTCCTGTATCTGTAATCCTAGGAATAGCCTGGCAACAGAGCCAGAGTGTTGTGGAATATTTGTACACTGTTTGAAAATGTATTGCTGTGATTGGTGTAATAAAAAGCTGAACACCCAATAACTAGAAAGAGGGTAGGCAGGATTTCTGGGGACAGAGAGGACTCTGGGATGAAGGGCGGAGACTCCAGGGACACTGAGAGGAAACAGGAGGTATAAGATGGAAGGGAGGTAATGCCACATGATAGAATGTAGATTAATAGAAATGGGTTAATTTAAGTTAGAAGAGCCAGTTAGGAGCAAGAATAAGCTATAGGCCAAGCTTTCATAATTAATAAGAAGTCTCCAGGTCATTATTTGGGAGCTGGCTGACAGGACAGAAAAAGACTCGTCACAGCCAGAGCCCACACAGGGAAATAAAACAAGAATCTTGTGTATAATGGGGATTCAAGAGACAGCACAATGGCTGGAGATAAGCTTAGGTGAAGAGCCCATACCTGGGGTACAGAGCAGGTTTGAGTCTTATATACAATAAAAGGTACAAGTTTCACAAAATAAATACGGGCTAGTTTCTCTCAGAATATTAAGTACAAAACCTCAACACATACTTTTTTGGAGTGCATATATTGTAAAAGAGAATTTTTCAAATTTTATACAAGTATATGCACAGTGTAAGAGATATTCTGTTTAATCACATCTTTATTTCATTGTTAGTTTTAGATGCTTTGAGGGAGATGTGAGACCTTCATTTAAACAGAACTTTCTTTTAAAGGCAAACTTTTATGATGATGGTAATGAGTACTGCAGTAATTGATCAGAATGAGAATTCTGAGGTTCATGCTAGACTAAGAGGATTCAAGAAGTCTTATTTTTGAATTTATATATGTGTATATTTATGTATCACCTACAAAGAGAGTCCATAAGAAATTCACAGAAATCTTTTAAATTAGAAGGTTAAAAATATAGCAAAGTGATATATGCTTGCTTGCCTACCACACACAAGGCTTTGAATTGGATCACCAGTACCACACACACAAAAAAAGGTTAACAAATGAAAAAGATAATATTTAGATAACACTGCCAATACCTTCTTTTAATTTAAGGGAATATCCTTAGACTTCCAGGTACTTCTTTTATGGCTAAGATGGCTGGAAACAAAAAAGTGCTAATAATATACTGATGTTCTCTAAGAGACAAAAGCCATGATAACAAAATAAAGAAGCAATACATTCTAATACATACATAATACATAGGGGTTTAGGAACCCCTGGTTATTTCTGGTTGTGAGTCAGGGTCTCATGTCATCCAAGCTATCCTTGAACTCCAAATGTAGCCAAAGGCAAACTTTAACTTCTGATCCTCCTGCCTCAACTTCCCAAGTGCAGTGGCATTACAGGCATGTACTGCCGCATCCAGTTTTATGTGGTACTGGAGACTGAACCACATGTGAATGCTATGCAAGCACACTACCCACCAAGCCACATCCCTATCTTCCTCAAACCTACTTTAATAATGACATCAAGTCAGAACAATGACATACCTGTGCATATTCATGACATACCAACAGAGTAAGAACAAGGAAACAAACTGGACTTGAAAAGCTTCTGGAGTTTACCTGGGTGGAAGCAGACTTTTGTTTGGAATGGATTGCCTGCATAGTACTCCTATTTTATCCTCAAATGCCTTCCTGAGGTATACCTTCTCTGAACCATGACACAGTGCCACTTTACTGATATCATATTTTACATATAATTGTTTATCACATGCTGGGAAAAGACTAACCAAGCAGTAAATCCTCATTTGAATAAAGAAGACACATTTACATTTGTCATTCATTTATTTAAAAGTAACTTTCCTAAGAATTTTACTTTTGTGTGTAGTATGTATCATGAGATTAAAATTTTCAAAAAGATCACTTCTTGATATTCTTAACAGGTTGTGATTTGACTAAACTCTGTTTAGCAGGTGTTTGTTAAATGTATTTGCTCTGTACGAAGCACTGTGCTAGATGCCACAGGTTTACAAAGGACTTATTACCTGCAGTGGAAAGTATATGAATAAATACCTGTGCCAGGCATGGTGCACACCTTAATCCCAGCACTCGAGATGCAGATGGATCGCTATGAGTTCAAAGCCAGCCAGGGCAATGCTACAAGGTGACACTCTGTCTCAAAAACAAAAACAAAACAAAACAAAACCCCCACCAACAAACACCTCACACCACAATAGAGGTACAGGGTGTAATGGTGGCGGGTCGTGTTTACTCTGAGAGGGTATGCCTGGGCAGGGTTCCTTAAGGAAGCAGTGTTTGAAAGCTGGCTCCAAGAGACGGACAGCAGCATTCCTGGGAAGAAAGGCTGGATGACATCTCTTTATTAGCCGAGTTTGATTGTGTGAGGATTTATGGAGGAAATGATTACCTCGGGACTAAATCCTGACTCCACCTGAATTTGACTCTATTCTGAATGAAGCGGGAAGACATGGAAGGTGTCTAAGCAAGAAAACATAACAGTGAATATTTATCAATAGCCTTCTACTTGGCATTGTGCTGGGTGTCCAGAATAGAGAAGTGAACACACAAGCTCCCTCCCCTCCAGAAGCGCACTGTGAGGGAGTGGATTTTCACAGCTGCATCTCAGCAACGAAATTAGTGTCAGCATACGATGGAGTAGGGAATAGGTAGGAAAAGGGTGGTTAGTTAGGAAGGCATTTTAAAAACCTGCATAAGAAGTGATGGATGCCTGAACTCAGAAGCAGAGGAGGGTATGGAAGGAGATTTATTCCAGAGATGATGCTGCTGTACAAAGAGGACCACACCACTGAACAGTGATGTCACAAATCAAGCTTGGCGAGGATGCAAAGTTTCCTATGGACACTCAGTCTGGGGTATTTGCAACATATTCCTGTGGAGATTTCCAACTGGTTGCTAGAACATAGGTGCAGACCTTACATGTCAGAAGGATTTTAGGAACTGTACTCAGAAGCTACAGCAGGGCTGTGGGAATGTCTGAGTTTTTCAATGAAAGAACATGGAAGATAACAGAAAACCATGAACCCTGAACTCAGACAAACGCCTGAGTTTTAGAGTGGGACACTGAAAAGGGGCCAAGCGAGGAGGTTGGAGATCACCAGTCACATTTTCCTACCAACATGTCTGGAGATTTCCACTCTGCAGCAGATGAAAATGCAGTATATCTTTCATAAAGAACATGTTTTGATCAAGGGACATTTATTTTTCTTCTTTTCCTGACTATAGCTTGATTTTAAATTAAAAGCATTCATTATTGTTTTAGTTTTTTAGACAGTCTCACTATATAGCTTCCTATGGCTTTGAACTCATGATCTTTTCATCTCAGCCTCCTGAGTGCCAAGAAAACAGGCTTGTGCACCACACAAGGCTTAAAGTTCTTGTCACATAATTATTTGTGTGAATTTATGTGTGTGTGTGTCTGTTTGTGTAACACACATAAATGCTTTTAAAACAGAAGTGTGGAGGTAAATGTATTTAATAATTTGACCCTGCTCTTTTTTGGCTCTTAAGGAACTGTGTCTGTTCAAGGCTTCTTCTCACAGGGCACTTGAGCTCAAGTCTAATTTTAGTTTATGAACAATACTTATGAACATCTAGGGAAATAATACCTTTACATCCAGTTCTTCAGATTTAAGACCAGAGGAAACCAAAGCTGCGTAAATCTGTGCGAGGTGATGGAGTGTCTTCTCTGTGAGATGGTACCTAAGAATGATATCATTGTGTTCACTCATTAGTTTGGTGCAGGCATGTCCCACCTCCCCTTGCACTTACTTTACCCTCTGGAAAGGACATTGCCACCTTCTGTCTTTAAGCACACTATTAAATCTAGGGATGCTGAGGGTGTGTGTGGAGGGAAATGACTGACGGGTGAGGAGAGAATCTGAGCCATTCCATTCTCATCTCCAGGGACGACTGTATGAACTAAAGTTAGACACAGAAAATACTCCAGCTCTGGGTCAAAGTAATAGGCTCAGGTAAAACTATGACCAGAGCCAGGATACCTACCATCTTTCATGAGCTGCTACATTAGAAGAAGCACTCTTCCCCTCTCTACAGTTATTGACCAGATCAGATGTGAGTGCCGACCTGTGAGTGGCTATTTCTACGGTTACCTACTCACTTTACATATTCTAAGCGGCAGTGAAGAGACTATCAGTCTACCACTAAGAACTCCAAGCAAGTGTTCCTCTATCTAGGCATTTCTTGGCTCTTTTGTCCTGTGTGTTAGCTTCTTCCTCCAGAGTTGTCTAACGCTATTCCTGAGGAGACGTGAATGTTCATCCCAGAGAGGGAGTCACTGATAGACCAAAGGAAGGACACCACTGAAGTCCGCCCTGGGGAACCATGTGTTTTATTGTGACTCCCTACAGGAATATGGGTGAGGGGTTACTTACAGGAGCAGAAAAGACTCACAGAGAGCTGCACCACCAAAGCCCACTCCAGCAGGAGTGACAGCTCACAAAGCTGGGAACCTGAAGCTCTCTGCACAATTTACAGACAGCTCACATGGTTGGAGCACTTTCTTCCAGACAGTTCAGTTGGTCCAAGCCTCTCCAGGCAGCTCCCCTGGTCTCTGCTTTTTTCACACAGTTTGGCTGACTTACCTCCTCCAGGCAGCTTGGGTGGTCTGAGCCTCTTCCAGCTGAGCTGCCTGGAAAGGACAGCCTGTCAAGCTGTCTGTAGTTGTGCAGTGAGTTACAGGTTTGTAGCTTTGGTGAACCGTCGCCCATACTGGGGTGGGCTTTTGGTCATGTTCTTTCTCCGTGAGTTATTTCTGCTCCTGGTTAACCCTTCACCCGCACTGCTGTAAGGAACCCCAATGAATTCATTGGTTCACCAAGCTCGACTGTCATGGTACCCTTGCTTTGTCATTGGTTCCTATTCAGGGTGAGTAGATTTTTTTTTTGCATCTCCCCATGAGTGGTGTCACACAACACCCAGACAGACTTTCTCCACAGCGTAAAAGGTTGGTGGAGTAACGAACGTACTGTGCCCAAGCTGTTTGTACAAACAACCTGAATTCTGCTAAACACTTGCTTACCTTGTGAACCCCGGAAGCTCTGACTCGTGCTAAGCCCTTAATCCTGGTCATTGTGTCTCTAATTAACTCCCTGGATGGATAAAGGGTTGTAGTGTCGTCACAACCTGTTACTGAGAACTCTGGGATTTCCTAGGGGCTCTGTCCAGTGAGCTTCCTCTCTTGTTAATTTTGCATTATAGGCTGTTAACCTTGGACTGTAGTAAGTCAGAGCTATGAGTACAACTATCTGATGGCTCTTCCTGGCAAACATCAAACCAAGGGATATTCTCAAAGGTTGCTGATGCTCTTCCTTGAAATTATATGCCCGAATAACTAAGGTAATTGAAACCCTTTCTTCTGCATTTTCTATTGCTCTCTTTTGATCAGCTTATTGAGATACTACTTAAAGGCTACAATTACCAGCCAGGTGTGGTGGTGCACGCCTTTAGTCCCAGCACTCAGGAGGCAGAGACAGGCAGATCTCTGTTTGTGAGTTCAAGGCCAGCCTGGTCTACAAAGAGTTCTAGGGCTACACAGAGAAACCCTGTCTCAACACCCCCTCCAAAAGGTTACAATTATCTAATAAAATAGAATTATGAAACTCGGAATTTTGAAACTAATTTATATTTATGATAATATCATAAATAAATGATCACACTGTATATTCTGATAAAAATAAAGATATCTCAGAATATTACGTGATAGGTGAAAAATAAGTTGGGATATTTGCTATTCTCCCCTGTGTTTCAATTGAACCACAAAACTATAGATAAACAGCAATCTGAAAACCTTAGAAAACTTCCAAATAAGTAATTTATCTATAAAAACTGTCAAAAACGTTATCCATTTGGATAAAGCTTGAAATGATTTACAGGTAGGCACTAAGCTTGAAGTGTTTCATAGGCCTCATTAATCTTAAAAGTCAGGGCGTTGAAGCAGGAATCACAGGGTTTTCTGTAGCCAGGTGGAAAGGGCCAACTCTGTTAAATGACTTGCTGGGGCTGTTTGTTAACAGAAAGGGATTAAGAGTCAGGAGTTTAGACTCTTAGACTCCAGTCTGTATCTGTCCTCACGAGATAATGACTGAACTGGAAGAGTTCAATGAACTAGTAAGCAAGAGCGGCGTCAAGAAAGCGAAGAGTCACCGGCAATGTCAAATTACCCACACCCTCTCTACCCACCGAGCTAGAGACTATAAAGCCTCTGTGAGTCGGGGACGCGGCACTCTAGCAATAAAAACTGTCAACTGGTTAGCTGTCCGGTAGGGAAGGCTGACTCATTCAGTGAACAGCTACTGAGCATCCATCACACAAAAGCAGTGTGCTCTTATGCTACGGGACAATCATAGACGAGGAAACAGAGCCAAGCAGTTCACAGGATGGAAAGCTGTGCATGAGGGAGTTCTGAGGAGAGATGAAGTAGAAAACACAGGACCTGGGGACAGGCCCGAAAAAAAGTTGAGTGCCGTTCACTAGAGGAAACAGTTGACGAAGTAGAAAAGAAATGGGTGACAGTGGAAGGCGCCCGGCTAGACTGGCAGTCAGTGAAGAAGCAGCCTGAAAATACAGGTGGGTCATATCCCCGCCCCTCACATGGGTTCTGGGATTTGAACTCAGGTCCTTGGATTCCAACTCAGTTCCTTGTACCAAGCACCTTACTGACTGAGTTATTTTCCCAGCCTCTCAGTAAAGGCTTTTCTTAAGAATGGAATAACCGGAGCTTGGTTTTAGGGCCATCAACTGAGTATAATCCACACCACTTAAAGGAACATGGAGAGACACGTGGAGAGAGAAAACAACAGGTAGTGTAACAATCCACATGAAATAGTGAGACTCTGAGCTAAGGCACTGGTAATATAAATGCAGGACAGATACCAAGAACTGCTAAAGGGCAGGTAAGAAGAAATACAGGTTTGCAGGGGACAGAGACTATACAGTCAGTTCCTATCTGAACACGTTAGCTTTGCGAGTTTGTGGAATATGAGGGTGGCAATATTTAGTAAAGATTTAGAGATTTATGCCAGGAATTCCCAAGAAAAACTGCAGCTGCAGAAAGAAATGTAGTAATTATATACCACCAGATACTGACAAAAGCTGTAGTAGATAAGATGGATAATGGACAGAAGAGGAGAAAGAGAACTCCAGACAAATGTACTCAGAGACTGGCACAAAGAAGACAGAAAGGCAGGGGGAAAGTACTTAGAAAGGTGGGCCGTCAAAGGCACTGGAGTGTCACAGAACTGGAGAGTTTGGAACAACAGACCACTGCAACAGTCTTAAATGCTTTAGAGCAGTGAAAGATAAAAGCATTGTTGATGGTCCTGAGACAGTGACCTCCAGAGGCAAAGACTGGTACAGAGACAGGGAGAAAAGCCAGCAGAGGATAAAGGAGAAATGTTTATTATGCTTATCAGTAAAGGAAAGGATAAATACAACGATGATTTAAGCCATTGTCTGGCCATGGCATTTTCTAATGTTTTGGTTAAGCCCATCAATGGCCTAAGTACAGGAAGAAGTTATGCATTCAATGTATTAACATGATTTTAGAAGTGGTTTTAAAATGATTTATCTTATAGCAAACAAGCCCAGGATTACAAAGAAATAAAACACTTAAAATAATAACTTTTAATGAGATGGGGGTAGGAGGGGATGAACTGAACAGAATGTCCAGGACAACATGTATCATCTCCAGAGTTCTTTGTTTCCCAATATGCTGCCTCCAGCTCCAGAATCCCTCACTAAAGCACACTAGATGAGGAAGTAGAACTTGGCATGAACATTTATGCACAAAGAGGCCCAAAGAAGAATATGAACATAACTTTGGAGGAAGAAACGTTTACCTACTCTGAATTTAATGTTTCCTTGGGATATAGTATTATCCAACAACAGCTATATTGGAATGACAATGCCATTAATCTCATAATGATATTATCTGATGCCTTCTCATAATGTAATTCTTCTAGGTCCTATAAAAATAAAGAAAATGAAAAGGTACATTAGGTTGACTACTGTTTAAAAATTATTAAAAATTTCAATAGTCCGTGGTATATAAATGATAACTTAAGAGGGTATAGTTTAAAGTAAAAATTAAAATCATATGGAAATAAGGAAAGCTGCAGTAGACATAAACAAGTAACTCGTGACAGCATCAGGAAGCCTGGTGAGTCTTCCACAGCCCAAGATATGACTAAAATGACCAAATCAATGCTCCTGTGCTGGTAAAGTGCTTTGTGGACTGGGATCTGGCTATCAAGGCAACAGAAAGTACATTTCAAAGCCTATGGAATAACCTGTTGATGTTGCAACTGGTAAAAGCACTTGTCATGCGAGCACCGTGACCTGAGGTCAAGCCCTGGAGCCCTGCTTAAAAGGGTGAGCTTTAGTAGACTTCTTGGGTCCCTCAACAGTCTGGATCATCTTTTCCTCTAATTATTAAAATTTAATAAGACATTTGATAAAATGTGTCATGTTATTGGTAATGGTCAGGAAAAAAGCTAAACACTGGAGATTAGACTCAGGGATCTTGTTCTAAAAAGAAAAGGGGGGATGTTGTAGAATATTATTTTAAGATGTGTTATTTTTGTTTATGCTGCATTTGTTTAACTCTGTGAAGCTGTGTTACTGTGCCTGTCTAAAACACCTGATGGTCTAATAAAAAGCTGAATGGCCAATAGCAAGGCAGGAGAAAGGACAGGCGGGGCTGGCAGGCACAGAGAATATATAGGAGAAATCTGGGAGGAGAGATCTAGGAGTCAGAGGAGGAGGCCATCAGGGGCCAGCCACCCGGCTACACAGCAAGCTATGGAGTAAAAAAAAAAGGAAGGTATACAGGAATAAAAAAGGGAAAACCCAGGGGCAAAAGATAGACAGGATAATTTAAGAAAAGCAGGCAAGAAACAAGCCAAGCTAAGGCCAGGCATTCATAATTAATAATAAGCCTCTGTGTGTGATTTATTTGGGAGCTGGGTGGTGGACCCCCCAAAAAGGAGCAAAAACAAACAACAACAGGGGGATACAGAAATGATAATATAAAAGAATCGATTATTGAATCTACTTCAATCCAAAAAACAATTATTAATCTTAAATATTTTACATTGGCATGGATTTTGGTTTACTGATACAAATTTAAAGTTAATTTTGTTATATTGTATGTATATTTCTACTCTTGTTTAAGGTATTATATTTATGCAGCTCATTTAAAAATGTAATGTATAATTAAGAAATATAGATTAATAGAAATCTATTAATAGTCAAACTTATAGTCATGTTATGTATATTTTCAAGGTCATATACAGATATATTACACAGATAGATGGTCTTCAAACACTGCAAAGACCTACAGAATATGGCATTTAATATGTTTAATAACCTAAGGCTTTTCATGACAGTGAGACATGTTTACTCCTAGCAGCACCAATCCACTTTAGAGGAGATGATGGATATCAAAGAAACTCCACATGGAGTTTGCTTTCTTTATGGCAAAAGCTAGCCATTTGGGCAAAGAAACTGCCCTTGCTTCAATTGCTGACAGTATACTGTCCAAACTGGACCAACAAGACACAAAAAAGGTGACTGCCAAACTTTGCCAAGACAGGGTAGGACAGTCCTTCAAAATTCCCTGCTTCACAGAAAAGTCTGTCCAATATGCTAGGCCTGTAGGCCAGAGTTGGATGCCCTTACCTTACAGAGGAACTTTGGATGACTGTCCAGACAGCCTGATGTCCCTGTCATTAGATAACATGTCATCCTTCTGGGGTCTTTGATGGAGTTAAAGACTAAAGAATTAAATTTATCATTTTCCATAGTTATGATAGAAAACAAATTAGGTATTAAACTTTAGACTCACCAATATAAGATAGATAATTGAGTATTTTCTCTAAAATTGCCAAATACAAGTGGATTGAATATTGTAACTGTAATTTTTACTTAATAATTGTTTTGTTATATATAGTTTTACTATGTTAAGGTTAAAACTTTCCTTTTTAAAATTAGACAAAAAGGGAGAGATGCTGTAGAATAACCCTTCTGTACACTGTGAATATGTATTACTCTCATTGGTTAATAAAAAAGCTGATTGGCCAATAGTTGGGCAGGAAGACATTGGACGAGACAGCCTGACACAGAGAGAATTCTGGGAGGAAGAAGGGTGGAGTCAGAGGAGTTGCCAGTAGATGCAGAGGGAGCAGGAGATGAATGTGCAGTGTTAATAAGGGTACTGCCATGTGGCAGAACGTAAATAAGGAATATGGGTTAACTTAAAATGTAAGAGTTAGCTGTAACAAGCTTGAGCTATTGGCTGAGCATTTATAATTCATATTAAGCCTCTGAGTCAATTATTTGGGAAGCAGCTGCTGGGTATTTGGGAACAGGCAGTCACGACAGGAAAACTCCACCTACAGTGTCATTAAAGACATGTCTTCCTTCTAACAGAAGTTCTGTAACTGTGGATTAAGACAGTTTTTCCAAGTCAATAAATAATTAAGAACTTTAAATATTAAAGAAACACCGTCTCTTTAAAAATCCAGGACTTGAATTTTTTCATTATATCATTCTTATATTGTAATTTTTACTTATCAAATCAGACCTCACCACATTTACTAATAATTTGTACTCAAACCTGATATCCAATCTCCATTTCTTTGCAACTGGTACATCAATCAAGCAAACATATAAGAAGACTCTTCCAAGAATTTATACATCTTAAGTTCCATATTATGTATTTGAACAAATTTGTGAGTCTCACAGTCATAACGTTAAGATGTCAGTAGCTGTGGTCCGAGTGGCAGTATTGCAGGTGAGGAAGTAGGTCTAAATTCTACGTATTTTTAGAGATTCTCTCTCTTTTTAAAAAAACAACAATTTGAAGTAATCCCTATTTGCATTAGAGGAAATGCCACATTTCTAACCATTAATTAATATTATACTTTCTTGGGATGGAAAGATGGCTCAACAGTTAAGACCACTTACTACTCTTATAGAGAGCCCAGATTCACTCAGTTCTCAGCACCCCAGATCAGGCAGCTTATAGTCGCCTGTAATTCCATTTCCAGGAGATCCAATGCCTTCTGGATCTTTAAGCACCTGTATGCACGTGGTGCACATAAACCCACAGTCACACAATATACACATAAAATAAAAAGGAAGTAAAGAACGGACTACCTAACTGTATATAATTATTCTGTACTTTCTTCTATGAAAGAGTGTGGCTGGTTCTTGGTTTTCTTTATCTTGCTTTGTTTGTACAGCTGGTGATCACACTCAGGGCTTTATGCATGCTAGCCTGCACTCTTATTATTCCTAGCCCTTACTATTTTTTTAAAACTTCCTACACTAATTTTTCTATGAATACTTTTAAAATAGGCCAATACACAATGCTAAAGATTTTTTTTTTAAAAAAAGATTTATTTATTATGTATACAGTGTTCTGCCTGCACACTAGAAGAGGGCATCAGATCTCATTATGGATGGTTGTGAGCCACCATGTGGTTGCTGGAAATTGAACTCAGGACCTCTGGAAGAGCAGCCAGTGCTCTTAACCCCTGAGCCATCCCTCCAGCCCCAGATTCTTTATTTACTTTATCATTTTGCTTGTTTGAGTTAGGGTCTTGTTCTATATAACTCAGATTGGTCTCAAACCTGCAATTCTGTCTTAGTCTCCTAAATGTCAGGACTGCAGATAAACATTACTGGGCTTGTCTTGTCTTGTCTTCATCTTCCTTAAATATGTTAACATTTGTATGGCATTCAGGAAGATTAGTAGTCATTTTCCATTGTGGTAATTTAGCACACTGTGCCCATATACAAAATTTAGAAAAGATCACAGATTATAGTTAAGCTCCATATAGAAAAGAAATTACATAGTTGTATTATTTTAATATGCTTGACTTTCTAACTTTAATATATTTTATTAATAAGTGATAATTTCACACCTTGAAAACATTTGTTCCCTACTCCTCATGCTAATAGCCCCAGATTCCCTTCCCTCCTGATTTTCTGTTTTTTTATTATATAGTTTTACCTGCACAACTACAGCAGTATGCTCATCAACTGTGACTACTACGTAACGCTCTGTGCTTCCAAACAGCTTCAGTGACTCACAGCAGCATCTCTCCACCAGTGTGATATTATAGCTGCAAAAGACAATATTCTTCAGTGAAAATAACGTCATGGCTAAAAATGCTCTTCAGAGTATTGTGCTGTCCTTCTGAATATTAAATTATGTGAATTACTGTTTTTTTCATAAATGAACTTACTCTTTAAATTTTGGATGAAAATTATGACTTATTCAGTATAAAAGAAAGCAGACCCTTCTTTAATCTGTACCTGCTCAGCTTGGAAGGCCTCTGGTGTGGTTTCTATTGGTTTCACCTTGAACTGTGTTAATCTCTTTTTAAATTTTTATTTATTTATTTAAAGATTCAGTTTTAATTTTTATGTATGTGTATGCATGCATGTGTATGTGAGTGCATGTGTACTCTGGTGCCCATGGAGGCCAGAACAGGGCATCCGATTCCCTGGGCCACCTCTAGAGTAACAGGTGTTTATGAGCTGCCGATCTGGGGGCTAGGAACCAAACTCTGGTCCTCTGCAGGCACTGTTAATCGCTGAGCCCTCTCTCCAGCCCATGCTATTTTTTTTCACATTGACAATCCTTTTAAAAGGTATATGCTGTCTTACTAATTGTGCTGACTATTAGTCTGTATACTACCATTACAAATGTTTTCACCTATTTATCCTAGTTCTTCAACAGTGACTCATAAAATCAAAACATCACATCAAAAGACTATAAGAGTCTGCATTTATCAGAATTTCCGTCTCTCTCTTTTAAATGGACTTACTTTTAGAGGTCAAGCTGTTGCTGAAGGTTAAATCCAGGGCCTCAAAAATACTCAGTGGCCTCATAACACATACTAAGTTCACACGACAACTGAGCTACAACCCAAGTCTGTGTGTACACTTTAACTGCTTTTATGAGCTAATCGTTTTCACGAGTACCCTATTATAGCCTTTCAATATGAAAACAAAAGCATAGAATGTTGATCTGCATTTTATCTGAAGTAATAAGTCACTTTTCCTTCATTGATGTGTACTTAAATAATCCTGTGTACTTTGATACAGTATTTTTCAATTTAAAATGCTCAATGTTCATATAACCTTAGAACTAATGACCTGAAAACCCAACCTTTCATTTAGAACTTCATTGTCCTGTTTTCCATGCTGTTTTTAAGCAAAAATTATCATTCTGAATATTGCAAATGACTCAAATGTTTGAACATATAATTCACAGAAAAAGAACACACAAAATGTTTATATGTGCTGGTAACAAAAGAAATGTAAATAAAAAGGAAATTAAAGAAAAATTAAATTCCATTTTGTCCATAAAATTAGTATATATTATAAAAATATTATTCAATAGTTATTTATAGTTTAGGTATTAGAAATATAAGTTGATATACTCTGTGGAAAGAAGTTCTTGTATATTCTAGTCTTGGGTCAGGAAGACAAGGTATAGCATGTACAGTGTAATTCATCAGAACACACACACACATACAGAAGTGCTGAGACCAGCAACTAAAAATCGTGGCTTACTCAGATTCCAGCAGCCGGAGTATTTCTGGGGTATTAAGCACTCCTTCAGATGCAAAAAATATGTATGGGATCTTAATCTCCAAGAGAAACCCACCAAATCTATCCAGCAAGGTGTTTCCTAAAGAAGAGAATTATAAATGTTTACATTTTCTTCTACCACACCTCTCTCTTTTTTATTAAGCAGTAGTAATGCAGGTGTATGTTAAAGAAACTATATAAATGCAACGTTTGTTTTATAAATAGAAATCCGAACAAAGAAAACTGTTTCTTCAAACAGACCAGTTCTGCTCTAGTGGAGAACAGGATCCTGGCTTGTCTCCTTACTTTTCAGAGCTGTGTCTGGAACGATGACTCTGAAGGCCAGGAAAGGAATACTCAGCTGCCGGCAGTGCCTGGCCCAGCAAGAGTGCCCCACGTGATTGTACTCCACCACGAGCGAGAAGCTGCTCCAGGGGAAATCTGCTCGGATACTGTGATGATGCACAACCACACAGGAACTGGTACTGAAGACAAAAGCAGGTCAAGACAATGGGATTACACCTGTCATTCTTTAACTGGGGCAGAGGAGATGGCTTCCTGTGCTCTCCTGGCCTTACCACTCAACTGGAAAAACATCGGCACACTGTGCTCATCTCTCCCGACTGTGTTAATCTCATTATATCTTTCTTTTGTTGTTTTGTTTATACTTTTTTGAGACAGGGTTTTTCTGTGTAGCCCGGGTTGTCTGGAACTCACTATATAGACCAGGCTGGCCCCAAATTCACAGAGATCTGCCTGCCCCTGCCTCCCTGTGCTGGGACTAAAGGCATTCACCTCCATGCCTGGCTTTCATTTTATCTTTCTCTTAGATAATCATACTTAAAAAAAAAATACTAGAACATACAAAATTTCATATGCTCATATCCCAAATGTAATTCTGATTTAATTACCTGAGTATCATGAATAATAGACATCATCAACGTGAAAAACTGCCTCACCTCACCAATGTGAAAATCTCAATTTTGAGAATCTCCATAGTAGGGTATTTTCTGACAAATGTCAGATGGAGTTGTTTCTTCTCAATGGGCTTCAAAAGTGTTTAACGGAAACAAGAACAGATGGACACAGTGGTGTAAGTGCTACATCATCTTCATGTAATACAGCATGACCGTAATTAAACCCTCCACCACTCCTTTCCATCCAGGTCAGGCCAGATGTTCAAAGTGTTTATACCCAGTTCTTATGGGCTTCTATTTTATTTACATTTCTTTTATTATTTGGATACCAATAGTAGAAACAATTTCTATGTGAAATAAGACAAAATAAAGGCATTTAAAAACCCAACTCTAGGGCTGGAGAGATGGCTCAGATGTTAAGAGCACTGGCTGTTCTTCCAGAGATCCTGAGTTCAATTCCCAGCAACCACATGGTGGCTCAAAACCATCTATAATGAGATCTGGTGCCCTCTTCTGGCCTGCAGGCATACATGCAGACAGAACCCTGTATACATAAGAAATAAATAATTGAACCTTTAAAAAAAAAAAAAAACCAACTCTAGGTCTATTCTCAGCAGGCTGTCCCCAGGAAGAAAGGAAGCAGACATGGCAAACCAAGAACCTGAAGGAAACACGGTTATGCTTTAAAAGAGATTTCTTTTTCCTTTCTTCCCTTTTTGTTTTTCCACGAGACAGGGTTTCTCTGTGGAGTCCTGGCTGTCCTGGATCTCGCTCTGTAGCCCAGGCTGGCCTCAAACTCACAGATCTGCCTGCCTCTGCCTCCCGAGTGCTGGGATTAAAGGTGTGTAATACCAACTGCCTGGCTCATTACTGAGTCTTAATACCACCGCCCTAGGAGTATTTCTATTCTAACAATAACGATGATGATAATTTTGGGATCTTAAAACAAGACTGAGCTAAATTCTTGGATGCTAATTTTATTAAATACACATGGCTATGTTGAGAGTTAAGTGTTATTAGGCATTTTTCATGAGGAGAGTAAAGCTGTGGACTTCAGACTTTCTTAAGGAGAACTCTGGGAAGAACATCTTCCCAAGTAATAGGGACCAAGGCCAAGGGCACTCCTGGCCAGTGAGCTACAGCACAGCCTAAACTCCAGGGGAAGCTCTCCCTTTCCTGTGGAGCTGTGCCATATATTAAAAATATACAATCTTACCCTTTTAAAACACCAGTAGCTTCCAGAAAATCTTTTCTCTCATTTGAATGTAAAACAGTCAATGTTAAACCTGTTGGGAAAAAAGGGAGCTTTCTTTCATCAAGATTTTTTTTTAGTTTTGGTTATAATTTTTTTCCAGTGCCACCAATTTCACTCCCATAAAAATGAACTAAAATTCTGTAAGCAAGGAAATTATTTGAAATACGATTTTCCAGATTACATTTCTAAGTCTAGTTTATTAGAAAGCTTATAACGTAAGCAATATTTCTGGTGTGTATACACGAAGATCATCTCAATTTTTTATGTCAACAAAAACAGTCAAACATTTAATTTTAAAACAGCCATATTAAACACTCATTAGTTGTGCATTTAATCTTATTTTGCCCTAAATCATAGTAATTCTTATTCTTTCTCTAGCCAAAAGTGTAAGTACGTAACAATATCAGCAACAGAATCTATTTCAATGTGATATGAACATGTGTGTGTATGCATTTGTTTACTGTCTATATAAGAAATAGAACTTAATGAGCACCAATCATTCACGATTTTTAACTTTAATTTAAATTTCTTACTAGTATTTAAATAAAATATAAATTTCAAACACTGTATCCTGCTGTGGGAAGTCTTTCTGTATACTGTGAATATATGTTGCTCTGATTGGTTGATAAATAAAGCTGCATTGGCCTATGGCAAGGCAGCTTAGAGGCAGGCAGAAATCCAAGCAGACAGACAGGAAGAGAAAGGAAAGGCAGACAGATGCCAGCTTGCTGCCCAAGGAACAACATGCCAGCAGACTGGCAAGCCATGGAACACGTGGCAAAACACAGATCAATAGAAATGGGTTAATTCAAGTTATAAGAGCTAGCTAGCGAGAAGCTTGCATGTGCCATGCAATTGGTAATTAATATAAACCTCTGAATAATTTATTTATAAGTGGCTGTGGGACCGTGGGCCAGGTGGGACTGGAGAAAAACTTCTGACTACATTTGGCGCTCACCATTGGGCATTGATCCACACAGACCTAAGAAAGCTTAAAGATTCTGAAGGCACAGAAACAGAGCCACACTAGGCTTCCTAGTCTCACAGTCTCCTGCCAGTAGCAGCATAGAGACTCGTTTCCCAACAGCTGTCTGTGAAAGAGAGCTGGCCGCCAGCTGCCATGAACTACGCAACATGGAAGATTCCCGCCACAGTACACAGTGGGGTCTCCAGGTGGCACAGCACACTGTGTGGGAGATTTAGTTTTTGCTAGTACAGATTTAAAAAAAGGTGTGTGTGTGGGGAGGTTCTGGGTTATACTCTCCTTGACAGAGGCATAGACCCACTGCCTCCCAGAGTTGGTGGAGAGCATGGCTCCCAGAGCTGGTCTGGTGGTGAATTACCTCTGCCAAGCTGAGGTGGGCGGAGCCAGCAGCCAGGCCTGCATTTCTGTCCTAGGCTCTGCACTTTAAAGCAATGGTCAGAAAATGATTACAGAAACACAGTAAGAACAGATTCAGATGGAATAAAACTCTAAACAGTTTATAGTGTGTGTAAAAATGCATGTAGGCTTGGAAGAGAGAGGAAAGGGAGTATATGTACTTATATAAAGAAATAGATGTTTTTTAAAATAAAGTCTTTAAAGAGGCAGTAAAAGTAATATAAAAAAATAAGCCACATAAAGATGGAAGTTACACAGAGTCTGGATTATATTGTCTCTGGGATTTTTAACTGCAGAAAGACATTTGATCGTAAAGGCTGCTAAGTTAAACCAATGTATATATTTTAAAGGTATCTTGACTTCAAAATTTATGTCTAAAAATATATTGCTTTGGAAAAGAGGTTCTGCTTTTGTTTGCATAGAAGATGAGAGACTGTGGACTGCTTCCAGGCTAATATGGTTTGACCAGCCAAGACCCCCTAAAAGGTCTCTGATGACACCGTGGCCCAGATGATCCAATATCCAAAATCAACTTCAAGGCAACTGGCTCAGAGAATACAGCCTCACACACTACTCCAGTCAGGACTTGACCGTAATTCTTAATTTTCTCAGGCCCCATAAGATTGCCAGCACCCCCAACCAGCAGGAAGTAGTATGAGAAGCTACGCCCAAATTCCCAAAATATTGTTTATAAATGTTTATTTTTATTTAAATGGGGTTGATTATAAATACAATCTCTTTGTAAAAAAAAGGTGGATATAGACATGATAGGATAAAAGGGTAGATTATTGAATCTACTTTTAAAGTTTGTTTAAAATGTTTAACATTGCTATGGATTTTAGTTTATTGATGCAAATTTAAAGTTAATTTTTGTTATACTGTATGTATATTTCTACTCTTATTTAAAGTATGTTTATGCAGCTCATTTGAAATTATAATGTATAATTAAGAAATATAGATTAATAATTAGTCATCCATGATAATCAAACTTTATAGTCATGTTAGTTAAGTTTTCTAGGTATACATAGATATATTTCAATTAGGTAGGTAATCTTCAAACACTTTAAAGACCTACAGAATATGGCATTTAAAATGTTTTAAGAGCTCAGACTTCTCTGGATAGTGAGACACATCTGTTCCTGGCAGCACCCATTTACTTCAAAGGGAAAAATGGGCATCGAAGACACTCTATATGGAGTTTATCTTCTTGGCACAAAATGGCCATTTGGGCAAGAAACTGATCTTGCCTGGACTGCTTGACAGGATGTTATATAAACTGCACATGCAGGACCCATAGGAAGGTGACCACTGAACTTTGCAAAGTGAGATGGCCCTTCAGGTTCCTGCTTCACAGAAGAAACTGCCAGACATTCTACAGGACACAGAGAGAAGCAATTGAGAGACTTTAGGCCTATAGACTGAAGATGGATGCCCCAACATCACAGAAAAACTTTGGATGACTGTCCAGTTAGGCAGCTGTCTCTGTCATTTTGAGAATTTTGGAAGCTGCTTACAATGCATTTCCTGTTTACTTAGGTAACATTATATCCTTCTGGGGTCTTTGATGTAGTTGAAGACTAGATAGTTACAATTTTTCTTGGTTATGATAAAAGATAAATTAGATATGAAACTTTAGACTCATAAATATAGGATAGAATTGCCAAATACGAATGGACTAGATATTGTAATTCCTGCTTCATAACTGTTCTATTATATGTAATTTTACTATGTTAAAGTTAAAACCTTCCTTTTTGATTAGACAGAAAAGGGGAAGTGCTGTGGGATATCTTTCTATATGCTGTGAATATGTGTTGCCCTGATTGGTTGATAAAGCTGCATTGGCCTATGGCAAGGCAGCTTAGAGGCAGGCAGAAATCCAAGCAGATAGACAGGAAGAGAAAGGAGAGACAGACAGATGCCAGCTTGTTGCCCAAGGAACAACATGCCAGCAGAGCAGTAAGCCACGGAACATGCAGCAAAACATAGATTAATAGAAATGGGTTAATTTAAGTTATAAGAGCTAGCTAGCAACAAGCCTGCCATATACAATGCAATTGGTAATTAATATAAGCCTCTGAGTAATTACTTTAAAAGCAGCTGTGGGACCGTGGGCCAGGTGGGACTGGAGAAAAACTTCTGACTATAGTATCCTTACATTCATCTAGCTTATTTTGGGTTGACATAACTAATTAAAGAACAGTTAGACTAAGTCTAAATTAATTCTATAATCTATTAGTGTACTTCCATAAATTGCAAAGTTCACAAAGTTATTGTATAATAATGACATAGTAATGGTTAACCATTATGTGTAATATTACTAGATACACATAGTTTAGCAGCAATAAAGACAAGTATTATCTCTTTACAGATCATAAGGTGACTCACATCATCGAAAGTCTAAATGAGTGTTTTATATTAGCTCTGATCCTAGAAACAAATTAATGACATGGTGAGTGCCTTACTAGATCTTAAAATATATAGAAAATGAAACCAGATTTTTTTCCCCTATCACTAGATATAAAAAAGGCCCAGCTAGCTCCTGGCTGAGGAGAGTTGTCAGTTTGAAAGATTCAAACACTTCCAGTTGTATAGTCAAGAGTTTCGTGTCAGCAGAAATGAATGAAATGAGACAGCGCGTATCAAAGGCAACTGGGTACTCAGCCTGAAGCCCAGACAAGAGCTGCAACTGCCAATCATTTCCTCACCTCCACATCACATGCCAATACTGTGCAGCACTTTCCTGATTTATTTATTTAGTGTGCGTGTTTGTGTGTGTAGGTCAGAAACCAATTGCAGGCGTTGGTTCTCTCCTTCCATCGTGTAGGTAGGAGTTCACATTCATACACACAAATAAATAAAAATCTGAAAGGAAAATAATCAGCTTCCACATGAGAGGGCTACAGAGGAAGCAATGGCTTATGGGAGAAAGTCATGTTTCAGTTATAGTGTGATAGAAACTGCATGTAAGCAATGGGTTCCTAAGCTCAAAGTAGAAAGGGCTGATGGGGGCATCAGTGAGCAGAGCTGAAGTATACAGTGACATGAGGAAACTGGTTAGATACTATCTCCTAATTACTACCTATAAGATCTAGTATGCTACATAATCTTTATGAATGTTTTCTTTGTTTATAAAACTGAGTTGTTACGCAGCCAGTATCAATGTAGCAACTAGGAAGTAATCTACAAAACATGTCAGTTCTTAATAAAAATACATATAAGTATTACAGATATATTACAGACTTAGAATCTACATTAGTTTAAAAATTGTTAGTTAAATACTGGTGAAAGTTTGAGCAACCGGAGAATCAAACCATTGGTAAAACCCCACTGAGTCCTAGATTATGAGAAGACAAATTTATGGTATTTTACTGTCAATAACAGTTAGATGAATGCATTTGTATAACTTAAAGCATTTACTAAATGAAACATAAATTAAATGCCCCTACCTTCTATTTTCTTAAGGGTTTTAATAAGCAAATGCTTTTCTCCATCTGTGTCCATTCTTATTATAATCAGTACCTAGACAAAAGTAAGAATTACACATGTAGTGTTGAATGATTATTCTTTTCTTATGTATTTATTTATTATTTTGTGGTACTGGAGGTCAAACCTAGGGCCCCAACATGCTAGCAAGTGCTCTACCCTGAGGTATATCCCCAGCTGGATTATTCTTCCTCACAGTTTTGCTACAGACAATGAGAGCAGAGTTCCCACGTGTGGTAGCCTGTGAACCCAGCACTAAGGAGGCCTAGGCAGGAGGACCTGGAGGTCAAGGCCAGCCTCTGCTGCACAAAGAACCCAGCCTTACAAACAAAAAGGGAACACACAGGTTACAAAGTAAATACTCCTGTTCTAAATTCTGGTAACACCAGACATCACCGGGGGAGTGTTTTGAGGCAGTGCCTTAGTGTTCCTATCTATAACACCCATGTACAAGTTGTCTCAGCCTGTTTTGTACTGTTTATTTCAACCCCTACAAGTGTGAAATCATTGGAGAAAAGGAGTAGCTGCTGCATTCTTCTTAACATGCAGTTTCTCTTTTGGAGGGGAGCAGTAGATCAGTTTCAATAGTAAATTTCTCATTTATTGATTTAATTTAACGACCTGTGGAAGTCATTCAAGAAACTATAAAGTCTAAGATAAAGGAGTGATGAAGTGGAAAAGGGAAAAAACCCATATAAACTTGTATTCAGATTTAGTGTGACCACTTGTAATGTTTTTCTGCGAGATTAGGTTTAAAGAGGTATTTTGCCTTAAAACTTCATTAATTCAGCTCTCATATAATTGATGTAGGGTATGTGAGAAGATAAACAAATACATAAGGTATTTTTTATAATATCATGACAGATGAGATTCTAGATTATTACCCCCAAATAAATTATTGTAGTTATATTATGATGTAAATTTCCATGATCTTGTGCAAATACCAGGTGGGGAGAACCAATCCCGTGGAGGACCAATCCATGACAATACTTTATAACAGAAATTAAAGCATTTTAAATTGGAAGGCAATGAATAATGACACAAATCCCCCTTTCTCTGCATCTGAGACTACTGTTATCTTACTTAAGGAGGAAATTGTCAAGAGCCAAATAGCCTATTTTATAACTTCAAAGTTAAATGCATAAAATCATAAATAAGGGGCCCTTATTTATACTAATTACTTTATCTGCTTTAGCTCGATACCCAACCTTAAATTGTTGTTGACTTTTCAACCAGCTTAGTATCTGACATTGCAATTCTTGGATCTTATAGTTGGTTTTAGGCCTTTTTTCCGTAATAAACTGTAAAATTTTCAGCTGTCTCCAAATGTTATCCAAGCAGGAGTCTAACACACTTTTGTAGATATCTTTTGCATTTGACAAATATCCTGTTAAAGAAAATTAGGGAAAAATATTAAGCCCTTTAATGTTTTTGACTATAACTCCATGGCAAAAATCACCATAAATAAATAAATAAATAAATCTTCTTGGTTTTTTTTTTTTTTGTTTTTTTTTTTTTGTTTTTGTTTTTCGAGACAGGGTTTCTCTGTGTAGCTTTGCGCCTTTCCTGGGACTCACTTGGTAGCCCAGGCTGGCCTCGAACTCACAGAGATCCACCTGGCTCTGCCTCCCGAGTGCTGGGATTAAAGGCGTGCGACACCACCGTCCGGCCTTTGTTTTTTGAGACAGGGTCTCTCTATGTAACCTGGGCTGTCCTGGAATTCACTACGTAGACCAGGCCATTCTGGAACTCACTATGTAGATCAGGCTGGCCTGGAACTCACAGAGATCTTCCTGCCTTTGCTTCTGCCTACTGAGTGCTGGGATTAAAGGTGTGCACTACCATGTCTGGCTAGGAAATAAATCTTAAGTGACAGTTAATAGATCTGGAGAGATGGATCAGTAGTGAAAAATACTGGCTGTTTTTCCAGAGGATAGAGGATCAGTTCTCAGCATCTACATGATAGATAACAATTGTCTGTAACTTTAGTTCCAGAGGATCTGATGCCTCTTCTGGTCTCCACAGGCAAAACACCCAAACACAGAAAATAAAAATAAAATAAACAAAATGAAAACAAAAACAGTGACAGTTAACATTTCATGTAGTCCTATTCTGATTTTAATAAAATATGTTGCTGTTTTAATTTAAATTTATACCCAATACATAAGTACTATTAAAAAGTATATCTACTTAGGGAATACTATGTACTATTTTGATACATGCACATGCTGGGTAATACTGTTTTATTTTTCTTTTATTCTTTTCTTTTTTTTTTGAGTCATAGTCTCACTGTCTATCCTTGGCTGGTCTGGAATTTGTTATGTAGATCAGGCTGGCCTCACATCACAGAGATCCATCTGCCTTTGCCTCCCAAGTAGTTCTGGAATTAACCAGTACAATGCTGAAATCAGATAAACATATCTTCCTTCTCAAACATATAATGTCTTTAAAATTGGGGGAAGTTAAAAAATCAATACCACATGTCTCTTTTTAAGCTATATAACATTAATTTACTTGTATATATCTCCATATGTTTAATATATCTTATTTTCTCCTGATTCCTGCTTATTGAGTATTAATTCACTCTTTCTACAAACTTCAGAATCTACACTTATATGGAAATCCTTTTGAAATATTTATTCATTGGAATTTTCTTAGTATTTAATTTATGCAACTTTGTACCTGAATTTTTTTTTTTTTTTTTTTTTTTTTGGTTTTTCGAGACAGGGTTTCTCTGTGTAGCTTTGCGCCTTTTCTGGAACTCACTTGGTAGCCCAGGCTGGCCTCGAACTCACAGAGATCCGCCTGGCTCTGCCTCCTGAGTGCTGGGATTAAAGGCGTGCGCCACCACCGCCCGGCTGAATTTTGTTTTTTTAATGCATATGACAACCTCATTAGATTATAAAAACTCAGGGTAAAGTAAATGGTATTTATTCATAATTAATTTGTGCATCTGCCAAAACATTGGAGTCTAAATCATGCACATAGGACAGAGTCTTACTATGTTCTGCAGGATGGTCTCAAATTCCAGGGCTAAGGGAGCATTTTAGCCTCCCCAAAAGCTGGCATTACAAGCATATCCAACCATACCTGTCTGCAAAGGGCAACATAAACATGAAAGAACCTAAATCTTGTCCTTGAATGTTCATATTTAGTAAATCTAGATTTTTATCCCAAGAATTTCTTTTTGACAAGCTCACAACCACATGGTGGCTCATAACCATCTCTAGTGGAATCTGATGCCTTCTTTTGGCATAAAGTTGTATATGCAGATAGAAACTCATATACATAAAATTTAAAAAAAGATATTTGGGTAATTAATGAAATGATAACTTAAAATATTTACTTCTTATTCCATATGTTTTACATGAACGTGCATGTTAATTCTTATATTAGTACTGCAAAGCTGACAGGTAACTTTTAGGTTGACTTATTTTTTTGTTTTTGTTTTTAATGATTACTTTTTGTTTATTTATTTTTATGAGCATTGGTGTTTGCCTACATGTATGTCTATGTGAGGGTGTTGGATCCCCTGGAACTGTAGCACGAATCATAAAAGGTCTTATTAATGAAAATAAACCTGGGGCCAGGTATTGGGGTGAATGCTGGAAGATCAGAGAGACAAAACAGGCCAGAGCTAACCTCACCTCACCAATTCCTCAGCTGGGATCCTGTTTCCTCAGACTGGAAGACTCTGAGTCCTCATCCAAATGGGTCTTAGCTGAACTGCTGCTCAAAAGCCTAAAAGCTTAACCAGGCTCTAGTTCCTTGTCCTCATGCCTTATATACCTTTCTGCTTCCTGCCATCACTTCCTGGGATTAAAGGCATGTGTCACTATGCCTGGCTGTTTCCAGTGTGGCTTTGAACTCACAGAGATCCAGACAGATTTCTGCCTTTGGAATGCTAGGATTAAAGGTGTGTGTGTGTCACCATTTTCTGGCCTCTATGTCTATCTAGTGGCTGTTCTGTTCTCTGACCCCAGATAAGTTTATTAGGGTGCACAATATTTTGGGGAACACAATATCACCACATTTCCCCTTTTTTGTCTAAAATTTAAAAAAGCTTATAACTAATACAAAAAAAACTATATCCAATGTGGGAGCCCGTTCTCGGGTTCCTTGTGGCTTTACCCAGCAGGTCCACATAGAGGATGATTAGGACCACGGGCCTGAGTGCAGGTGTCTGAGATGGTCTGCACTTGGCTGTGCTGGGGGAGGCGGTCTTTTGCTCCACCCCTTGGCGTCTCTATAAAAACCCTGGGGCAGAGACAGTCAGGGCCCGTTGGAATAGGTTCCAGGCCCTCTTGAGGCTATCCTTTATTTTCTATCTGTTTATCTCCGCGATATTCTCCGCAATAAATCCTTCTATCTAATATTTCCTGCTGCTCGCACTCAAGAAAACTCTGGGGAACTGTGGGGGTGGTTGGGTAAACGCCCCACAATCCAATAAGTATATACAATATATACACTCAAGAATTACATTAATGATGTCTAGTTCATTAACATTTGACAGATTCAGATGAAAAACTCCATTATATATATTAACAATGCCCACTCCAGTAACATTTGATAAATTCAGACAAAAAATTTCATTACTTATCCTATTTAAAACAAGTAGTGCCTTTTTAAAAGTAGATTCAATAATTGACCTTTTATCTTACCACTGGAACTGGAGTTATAGAAAGTTGTGAGCTGTCATGTGGGTGCTGGGAATTGAACCATGGTCCTCTGGAAGAACAGCCAGTGCTCTTAACACTCTGAGCCATCTCTCCAACCCCAAGATACTGACTTACGTTTTACCTCCTTTTTCAATTTTTTCAAATCTGATTCTCATTACTGATTCATTGCTCTTGTTTTGTTTGTTAAGACAGGGTTTCTCTGTGTAGCCCTGGCTGTCCTGGTCTTCTGTAGACCAGGCTGGTCTTCAATTTACAGAGATCCACCTGTCTCTGCCTCCCAAGTGCTGGGATTAAAGGTGTGTAATACCAACTGCCCAGCTCATTACTGATTTTTTTATTTCTTTTTTTCTTTTCTTTTTTTTTGGGGGGGGGGGTTGAGATAGGGTTTCTCTGTGTAGCTTTGTGCCTTTCCTGGCTCTCGCTCTGTAGACCAGGCTGGCCTTGAACTCACAAAGATCCGCCTGCCTCTGCCTCCTGAGTGCTGGGATTAAAGGCGTGGGCCACCACTGCCTGGCTTCATTACTGATTCTTAATACTGCTGTCTGGTCTTAACATTTTAAAAAAGATTGTAGGCCAGGCATGGTGGCACACATCTTTAATCCTAGCATTCAGGAGGTAAGGCAGGTGGATCTCTGAGTTTGAGGCTAGCCTGGTCAACAGAGTAAGTTTCAGGACAATCAGGGCTACACAGAGAAACTCTGCTTACTCCAAATTTATTTTTAGTTATCTGTATGTGTATGTTGGGGGGTAAATGCACCTGAGTGCCGGTGCTGTGGAGGTCAGAAGCAAGAATCCCACTGGAGCGGCTCAACATGGGTCTGGAAACTGAACTGGGGTCCACTGCAAGAACATTTGTACTCTTAAATACTGAGCCATCTCTCCAGGCCCAGAACTAACTTAAAAAAACAAATCTAATCCAGTAGCATCTCTTTTCAATCTCTTTTAGCCCCGTATAGTAAGGGCTAAATTATTTTGTATAGCAATAGCTAGTTCTTACTTTTTAAGGCAAAGTTGCAAACATGTACTAAGGACCTAAAATGTATATGACAAAATGTCAACCCTCATATAAAAACCAGCACATAATTATGATTATACATTCAGATCTGTATAAAGTCGCCATCAGAACTCTGTAATTCAGACCTAGACTACCAGCATAAATAATATATACATATATGCATACATATATATACAGATATATCATATATATACATACATACGCACACAAACACACACACACACACATACACACACACACACACACACACACACACACACACACACACACACACACACACATATATATATATATATATATATATATATATATATATATATATATATATATATATAGTTCCAGTCTGGGCTGAGAGTCTTGCTTAGTGATAGACTGCTTATTTAGTATTACAGTATTATTAAGGGGCCCTGAGTTTGATTCTTAGTACTGAAATGTGTATAATATACACCATATATATATATATATATATCTCCCATTAATAATTATGACAAAATGTATGTTGATCAGTGTAATAGGCAAGAAGGCTACATAATTTTTCAAGAAGTATATCTTTTTCAGAAAAGTAAAGTTATTTCAGATGGACTATTCAACAAGAAGAAAGCAAAAATAAAAAATTTCCTACCAACCTAATGCTGTCTCCAAGCTGCATGTTAAAAGGACGTCTCTAATTGTTACCAGGAGATGTAAGAGAGCAGCAAGCCTGAATGTTATTTCTCTGTCATCATTTTTACCTATACAAGCAAAAACATAGTTAACACATTAGAGTTTTAGAATATGTATCAAATCTGCTTGATAATAAGAGCTAGTATCTATTAGCGAGTGCTTACTATTGTTAGGCTGTGTTAGATAAGCAGGTTAGTTCATCGACTCTCTAATAATCCTGTCAGGATTACTGTGATCCTCATTACAGAGAAGGACACAGCTTTAATGAGGATAAGTGATGCTCAGGATAGCACTAAGCCCAGACAGCTGACTGCCCAGCTCATCCCCTACTGGCAAAGAATATTCAATTATGTTTACTTTTTTTGAAAGAAAAAAAAATAGTTCTAACCAAGAAGAAAATTAAATTAGTAACTTGACATTTGGATAAGATAGAAGCAGAGATTTGTAAAAGAAGAAATACTTTGAAATGGAAATAGATATCTCAAAGTGTTAGCTCAGAGATATGACTCACATAAGAGAAGTATTCAGAGGGATGAGCCAATTGCCTACTTAATGTATTCTATGCACTTCTAGAACTATCTGAAGATGAATGATTGGATTCTTCTACAATGTAAAAGCATGAGATGGGGAGAGGAGGGCATGCCTATACCACCCACGTGCGTGGAGGTTACAAGACAACTTGCACGAGTCTGTCTCTCCTTCCACCATGTGGGCTCTGGGAATCAAACTCAGGTCACCAGGCTTGGCAGCAAGGACCTTTATCTGCTAAGCCATCTTGCTGGCCCAATTTTGCTTTATTTTTGTTGTTTCAGGGTCTTACTTTGAAGCCCTGGATGGCCTCAAATTCACAAAGATCCACCTGCTTCCTGAGTTGCATGATTAAAGTCATGAACCATCATATCCAGCAAATATTTTTTTTTTATTTAAGAGTATGTGTGTGTGTATGAGTTTATGTGCACCATGTGCATGCAGGAACAGGCAGAGGCCACAAGAAGGTTACATACAGGTGGTAGGAACCACCATGTGGTAACTGAGCCTAGGTCCTTTGTAGGAGAAGCACATACTCTTAAAATAACTGAGCCATCTCTCCAGCCCACCTATATTATTTTTAGAAGAAGTGCCAATTTGTTAACATATGTATAATTTAATGAATTTAGAAAATTGACTTTACTAACAAACAACTAGGTCCAGATAACATGTAGTAAGCACAGTGTACTATCTCTTTTTCAAGACAGAGTACATGGAATACCACACCAGACTGAAAAATGAATGGTCACAGGCAGACTGGAGAAGGAGGCTAGATTTCAAAATGTCACTCAACAAAAGGTAAGTTTCCTATTTTTCCTATTAGTATGTCCTGGCCTGTACCATAGGCAACTACAAACCCCGATGTGCATGCCCCAGCAGGGACAGAAATAACTCTAAGAGAAGTTCTCCATCCATGGCATGAGTAGTGGGAACAGGCGCTCATATGGATAAGGAAGAGTAGAAGTCTACTGTATTATTCTAAGATCGTTGTTTGTTCTCTCCTTCCCCAGAACCACAGTGTTAGAGGCCAGCCATGACAACAGTAATTACTGGATATGGTTATGTCAGGTGCCTAAAACCCCTTCTGAATATGTAGAAACAGTTATCATGAGCTTCAGCAACCTCTGATAACTCTAGTATCTTTGATTTAGGTTTGTTTCAATAAATTATTCTCATTATTTATGAGTTGTATTTCCTGCTTCTTTATTGTCTGGCGATATGACTTTACACTAGATCTCATCAGTTTTATGTTGTTGGGTGCTGGGTATGTTTATGTTTATATAAATCTTGTGTTTCATTATGGGATGCAGTTAAGTTCACTAGAAATGATTTTATCCTTTGGATCTTGTTTTTGCAATTTTGTTTGGGCATGGTCAGGGCAGGGCCAAGTACTAGTTCCAATGTGAACAGTTATGGGGTTAACTTCATTTTTGCAATGGAGATCTATTAAATAATACATATCATTTAAGAGATTCATTGAGAATCTTCTGGGCTTGGCCTCGATGTGGATACTACATGCTAAATTACAGTTAAGGTTTCTTCCAGGTCTGAGGTCTGCATTGCTACAGTTGTCTTCAAATGTGCCTCCTCGAGTAGTCTGGATCTGATTTGTACTCACCTTGGTGAACAGCATCATTTATTATTTTTTCTTGTTCCTTTAAGAAGAATCTTGTTTGGTCAAATATGACAGTGGCAAATTTCCAATTAGCAGCAGGGTAAGTACAGAGGCAAACAAGTTTGTTTAAGACGGGAGTCGCTGCTGCTTCTAGGAGACAGTATGCTTGGCACTGGGTGTCTGAAAAATAAGAGCATCCAAGTCAGGGTGTGTGAAAAGGTCAGTGTGCTGTTTCTGATAAGCACCTGTATAGTCCTGACAGTGGGTGAGAGAACATACCATTACTAACACATTTCCCAAACATGGAAGAAGAGACTGAGGACTCTCGCAGCTCAGTCTTCTTACATGGATGTAGGGATGAGGCTCCAGTTTTAATGAAGGAAGAAACAGTAGTTAGTGGGCTGGAGCATGATTGTGGGAGAAAGACATGGATGTGCACAGGCATCCCATGTCTGGAAGAAACTTGAACGTAGGAATGGAATTAAGTTTCTGAAACAAATAAAGACAATTACAGGAAAATAAGGTATGTTCTACAAATCTGGGCGAGGACTTCCAAATCAAGTGAAAGAGAATGCATCTTGAAAGCCTACTGCATACCTGATGCCTGAATCTCAATGACATCATCTGTTCTTTCTTGACTTCTCTCCTTTGGAGTTTTGTTATTAGAAACAACAGGAGTTTCTTCTTGAAGAGTCAGAGAACACTTTTCTTCATCTTGAAATTCTAGCAAAAACATGAAATTGTTCACTTTAACACAGTGTTCAATATCATAGTTGCTAAATTTCTTCATGGAAGTACATTGAGACTAAGTTAAACAAATTATTCAGATCAGTGGACCCAACGCCGTGCTGAGTAGCTAAGTGGATGACGGAAGTGGGAAAACTTTGGCGTCTGGTCAGAATTCAGCCCCAGTCTTGACAGCAGCCTGCGTGTCCTCATATGTAAACATGGGCTAGGATCCTACCTTAGGTACAGGGGTCAAATGCCGCCCAGTTCTGGACACATAGAATGACGACAGCTCACCTCCGTGCCTTTCCCGAGTTGTCTTTCTATTTAAAACCTTCTCCTGGGTTCCAAGCCTTCTAAGGTCTCCATCCTTTCCGGGGACACCAGTTTTTACTGCTTACCCTCAATTCAGCCATCTTCTGCATGAAGTTGTCCATAGCTGCCTGCCTTACTTCCAGCCCAAACAAACCACCCCTCTTTTAATACGCAATTCAGTACCTGATACAGTGTTGAATAAATGCTATGGTCTTTTTTTCTTTTTTAGGTATTATAGAGGATTCATGGATGTATGCACATAGCTATTTTAACTAAAATATTAATGTCACCCACCAATAATATGATTATAAGATACTTTTAAGACTGTATTACCAACCCGAGGTACTTTAATATGTGAGGTTAAAAGTATGATAATGGAATGGGACATGGTGACTATGTCTATAATCCCTGCACTTGGAAGGCTAAGGCAGGAGGATCACAAATTCGAGGCCAGACATGGCTACACAGAAAGATCCTGTCTTAAATAAAAATAAAGAATCCCAAGTATAATTTGGAGAATATCTAATTAGATTATATCACCTTGAAGTAATACTACTGGATAATTTAAAGTAATCCGAATAGATACAGTCAAGTGATATTAACTATTGAAGTTTTTGAGAAAGCTAATAAGACACGCTGAGAATACTTCCTTCTTTGGGGGAAGTTCATTCCCTTACTGTACACTCAGTAATGAGCTTCAGCACATCCATAAATGACTGTCACACCTTTTGGAAAATCGGACACAACTGCATGACACTGAGAACCAAATCTTGTCTCCACAGATAGAACATAGGACTGCAAGGCCAAATCATGCTCTAAGCAACATAAACACTTTCTGTACCAATTTCACCAAGGTAAAGTCTATCAAAATTATTCTAGAATGCACCAGGTGTAGGGGTGTACACCTTTAATTGAAGCACTCGGGAGGCAGAGGTTCTCTGTGAGTTTGAGGCCAGCCTGGTCTACATAGTGAATTCTAGGAGAGCTACATAGTGAGACCTTGTCTGAAATAAAAAAAAATTATTCTAGAGTTCTATTTTTTATATAATTTACTTAACTTTATTTTATGTGTGTTGGTATGGAGGAGTCAGATCCCCTGGAAGTGGAGTTAGAGACAGTTGTGAGCTGCCATGTGGGTGCTGGAAATTGAACCCAGGTACTCTAAGAGCAGCCAGTGCTCTTAACCGCTGAGCCATCTCTCCAACCTGAGTTCTATTTTTTTTAAACTGGAAGTGAAATGATATGACACACTGTACTATTTTTGATATCGTTAGAAGCAGGAAATACATGACAATTACAACTCAAATAGAAACTCTTTGATAATATTAGAAAGAGTAATGAGCAATTAAATGAGAAAATGTGGAAAATGTGTAAGTACACATTGAAGTGTGTTAAAGTACTAAGATAAAGCCCTAACTAAGGAGCTACTGGTAACTGATAGCTGCTGGGAAAGTGCAGCCCTTGATAGGTCTAACCAAGCTCCAAAGGACGGCCACTAGTTAAGAGCACATAGGTAGCACTAATGGGGTTCAATGGGTTAAAAAAAAAAGGTGGGTCTGGAGAGGTGGCTCAGAGATGAAGAGCACTTACTGCTCTTGCAGAAGACCCAAGTTCAGTGGCCAGCATGCACATGGCAGCTCACATGTCTAACTCCAGTTCCAGGGGACCCAGCACCCTCTTCTAGCTTCCATGGGTACTAGGACTCATGCAGTGCATATATGCATACATGCAAGCAAAACACCCATACATATAAAACAAAATAAAGAAACCTTTTTAAAATATGAGGACATAAAGTTAGGTGGGTATGAAATGGAGGATGGATCTGATTGGAGATGGGAAGGGGGAAATGATAATGTTAAAAAGAAAATGTTTGAAATTCTTGAAGAATTAATAAAACTATTTTTGAAAATACTGGCATAAGATTGTAAGTTAATAAAAAAAAAGCATGAGCGAATGATCAAGTTAGGAATACTAAGCTTATATATCCAAGCTATACAAAGCAAGTTTTAAAAGGAATGGCTTTGTTACAAATTAAAATGTGCTTTTTAATCTTTGAAAGCACATTTATATCCATATCCATATATCCACATCTAAATCTATACCTACATATCTATCTCTATTTATAAGGAGTGTCAATGGCACTTTCCTTGTCTATGAAAAACTATACAATTCTCTAGAAGAGCTTGAATTTTCTTGCATTTGTATAACAGACAGTGCCCAGTCTATGTGTCTACGCCAAAGTTTTACTGTTACCCACCACTGTTTTGGTCATGGCCTGTGACTTCAGCATCTGAAGTAAAAGTCTTGTATTTACTTCTCAGAGTAATAAACTCGCTCAAAAGGTCCAAGTTATTCTGTTTTTTATTGTCAGATGCCTTGATCCGTGAAGAGGAAGTTGATTCAACAGATGGCACAGAGTTATATGGTCCAACATGACTGTTGTCTATCTTCTGCATTATTCTAGCAGCTAGTTCTTGGTCATTCTTTGGATTTTCTTCCTTTTCTGGTTTTTTAACAGAGACACATTCATCAGACATATCAAATTCAACATGACTGTTGTCTATCTTCTGCATTATTCCAGCAGCTAGTTCTTGGTCATTCTTTGGATTTTCTTCCTTTTCTGGTTTTTTAATAGAGACACATTCATCAGACATATCAAATTCAACATGACTGTTGTCTATCTTCTGCATTATTCCAGCAGCTAGTTCTTGGTCATTCTTTGGATTTTCTTCCTTTTCTGGTTTTTTAACAGAGACACATTCATCAGACATATCAAATTCAACATGACTGTTGTCTATCTTCTGCATTATTCCAGCAGCTAGTTCTTGGTCATTCTTTGGATTTTCTTCCTTTTCTGGCTTTTTAATAGAGACACATTCATCAGACATATCAAATTCAACATGACTGTTGTCTATCTTCTGCATTATTCCAGCAGCTAGTTCTTGGTCATTCTTTGGATTTTCTTCCTTTTTTGGTTTTTTAACAGAGACACATTCATCAGACAAACAAAGATGCAGCACTTCTTTTTCTGAAAATGGTCTCTTCTGTGGACATAATCTGGGAACACTGGTAGATTTCACACTCATAGGCATGATGGGCAAGGGACAATTCTGATGTTCTAACCAGGCTGGAAACAAGAAGATAAAAGACACCAAAATGATTTCTATACCTAAATGAATAACTTTTGGTTATAGATTCCTAGTAACATAATTTTATCTTTAAAGGTTGTTTGTTTATTGTTTGGAAAATACATTTTTGCTTCTAAATAAAATAAGCTTAAAAAACCATAAAAGTTTATCATCTCTTTTCTTTTCTTTGAGATAGGGTTTCTCTATGTAGTTCTGACTATCCTGGAACTCACTTTGTAGACCAGACTGGCTTCAAACTCACAGAGATCCACCTGCCTCTGCCTCCTGAGTCCTGAGATTAAAGGTGTGCGTCATCACTGCCTGGCAACCATCTCTCAATACTAGGAGTTCAATTACTAGGCAAAGAAGAAACTCCAGTAAAGCTCTGTTGCTAATAGGTTATAATGAGTTACAGCCTTGGACAAAGGGCTGAATCCAAAATATATTTTTAAATTCTTACAAATGAACATTTAAAAAGAAACCTAATTAAAAAGTTGGCAAAATGGCTGGGCGGTGGTGGCGCACACCTTTAATCCCAGAGCGAGATCCAGGAAAGGCACAAAGCTACACAGAAAAACCCTGTCTCGTAAAACCAAAAAAAAAAAAAAAAAAAAAAGTTGGCAAAAGATTTGAACATTACACACACCCTACAATACAGATGAATCATGATGTTGAATAAAATATACCAGTCACAACAGACCAATATTTGACAGTTTTTATTTATACAGATTATCTCAAAGAGGCAACTCTATACAGACAGTGAACAGATTAGTCACTCCACAGCTGAGCAAAATAGAGAATGACTGCTTATGGATATGGGATTTGAGGGAGGGGTTAAAAAGTGTTCTGAAAATAGTCTGTGGTGATGACTCTACACATCTGACTTTATGAAGACCCATTGACTGATGCATTTTAAATTGTGTGGTAAATTCTATTATAATAAATCTGGTCACTGAGTCTGTAAAGATACTCATCATTATTAGGTGCTAGGGAAATACAGAATAAAGCCACAAGAGCCTTACACATGTCCATTAGAAAGGCTGCTTCCACATATCTGAAATTCACACATTACTGGTGGGCATACACAATGGTGAAATAATTTTGGAAAACAATTTAATAGTTTCTTGTAAAACTTGTAACACCTGCAATAACAATAAGCAATTTTACTTCTGTATATTCTTTCAAGAAAAATAATACCATGCCCATAAGAAGTGTTGCACAAAACAGTCAAAGAAGTTTTACTCACAACACTAAAAAATTGGGAATAAATTCTGGGGAGATGATCAAACTCTGGTGAAGTATGTATAATAAGTACATATCAATAAAATATATGTATTAGTGCTACACATAGCATGGATGAATCTCATAATGCTATGCCGAGTTGAAGAATCAATCCAGGCACAAAGCCTTTAATCCCAGCACTTGGGAGGCAAAGGCAGGCAGATCTCTGAGTTCAAGGCCAGCTTGGGCTACAGAGTGAATGTCAGGACATAGAGAAACTCTGTCTCTAAAAACCAAAAAAAAAAAAAAAATGGCTAGAAGCTTTAAAAGTAAGATTGCAGATTTTAGGCAGAATAGGGTTTTAGGATTAGTTAGTTAAACTGCCCTATTTTTCTGAGAAGAACTTAGAGCCCAGGAGGGCCAAAAGTCCTAAAATGGCAGGACTGAAGCATATTTGCAGTGTTAAGGCTTTGTGAATATCTTTGTAACCATTGAGGAGAAGTCAAGTGTCAGATTTCTTCTCATGAAATGGTCAAAGGTATATTTACTATTCTGTACTCACAGACCAGCTGAAGCACTTTTGTAGGCAGGAAAACCTCCAGCTTAGTCTCCTGAGAAGACAGACCACTGTGACACAAATATGCCTTCAGATGCTCCAAGGTGTGGGCCATTATTGGATTTAGTCTTGCTTGTCTCCACCTCTGTGCTTTTGCAGGGTTAATCACAAGGCTGTCTCCTTTGATAGAAAAGATATTCCTCATATCTGCAAGAGAGTATTGACTGCTGGGCTCCTGACATCTTGGAACTTGAAAGCAAACAAACACAGGGAAAAAGAAATGAAAAACATTTGGATTCCTCTCTCTTGCATACCCTCCTGTCAACACTAGTCCCCGGCACTCACTAGTCGGTTTTCCATATCTAAAATTCTGTTATTTCAGAAATAAAGTGGAGTTGTTCATTTCTTTTGATTAGTTGGTAGTATTTCATTTTATATGTCTACCACAATTTGCTGATCTACTCATTTATTCAATGGACATGTGAAATGTTTCCTGGTGGGGAGATTTTCAGTTCTGAGGATTAAACCCAGAGATTTTTACATTGCTACCCTGTGCATGGATCACGGAGCTATAGCCCACATCCTGTTTCCAGGTTTCCACTTTTACATCTGTGTTTGTCTTTATATAAACACATGCTTTTAGAAAATAGACAACACCATCATTATTATTCTAATTGTATAAATAAGGAGAGAGCCTTGGAGGGGGTTATTCCACTCAAAAAAATTATTTTACTAAATTACAAATGTTTTTTGTTAAAGATTTTAAACCATCCTTCTTGGAATGCTTGAAAAATGGAAAACTTTTACATTACTTTTAACATTAGCTATGTAGAATACCTTTCACAACCAATTTACAGACTAAAAACATACAAACTCTTTACACAACACATATATAAGTGTATGTGTTAGATCTTTTTCTTTATTTCATAGATAAGAACTATGAAAAAGTCAGCCAGATTGAGTCCTTGTTTATCTAATGAGCCTCTAAAAGATAACTGGACTTTGTGTTATGTTCCATATTTCCTGTTATGGAATGGTCAAAGAAAAATATCTCACATTTGTACTCTGCATTCTACTTACTGTTCAGTAGCAAGCATTCTGTACCTGTAAGCAAGAATGAGACCCAAGAGTTTCTGCAGCTTCTCAATTGCCACAGCATACAATATTTGTTAGCCGATTCTCCAGCAGTAAGCAAATTACTGTAAAAGAAGAATCAAAGTTTAACTCATCAATAGCATTGGTTGTTTTGTATAACAATTTTAAGAAGAGTACTGTTCTAAGTTTTTTTTACATATAAATGCAAGTAAAAATGAACTCTATTTTGTAAATGTATAAAACTGAAGTAGAGTTGTATAAACCAAATTTCGAATTACTTTTTCCTTCCCTGAAAGATTTGGTATTAATAAATTCCTCAATTAGTCCTGCTTGCTAAAAATTGGATTCAGAACCACCTAGGAGATTAGTGAGGCCACACGGCGAGGGTGTATCAGTGAGGGCATTTCTGTGAACTGAGGGCTGGGTGGGTGGTACCATCCCATGGCTGGGGATCCCCGACAGAATAAAAGGAGGGAATGGGAAAGCAAATGGGCATTAGATTCCTTTCCCTGTTCCTTTGTCAGCCAGGAGGTGAAGAGCTGTTCCCTGCCATGTGCTCCAACCTCTATAATGATGTGTTGCCTGAGCCCACAGGGCCAAGCAACTAGGAATGAACTCTCTGAGACCAGGAACCGAGACAAATCCTTCCTCACTTCAACTGTTCCTGACAGATATTTGGTTGAGCAATGACAAACATAAATAGCATGGAAATTGATTACTTGTGACTACTAGTTGGGATTAAAAAAAAAAAAAGCAGAGTGGGAAGATGTGAAAAGTATGGAATTGGGCTAGCAAAGGGTTGGTTTAACTTTCTAGATAATGAGGTTGGGGCTGTTAGAGAGATCAGCACCACTAAAGGGAAGCTAAGCACTTCATACGGGGCCATATGAAAGATACTTTCAGCATCTCGGTATTAGACAGACTCCAAATATCACAGACTCTAAGGTTTATTTGAAAGACTTTCCTTTGAGAAGAGAGTGATGAAGCACCTTGCTCCCACAGGGACATCAAGGGAAATGGATCCCTTAGTTCAAGTTCCTAGTTCCTCAGACACTACTACAGCCATGGTCCGAGGAGGCTGGACGGACTACTGCTTTAACTGGCAGCAGACTTTGGCATCATCTACATGAAGCTATGGGATCATGTAAGCTTCAGCCACACTTTAAAAAGAAGAGGTGGGGGGCCAGGTAATGTTATAACAAACAGGGTTGGATGTCCTGCAGTGAGCCTCTGAGCAGATGATCTATAAAGACCTCAGGATGCTGGAGTTGCCAGTATACAGATCATCTACGAGGAGAACTGTAGGCAATGAGTGGAGCCAAGAGGGTGTCCTGGCTAGTCTTCTGTCACTTTGACACAAGCTAAAGTCATCAGAGAGGGGGGAACCTCATAAGATCAGTAGTCTGTAGGCAGGGAAGCCTATAGGGCATTTTCTTAATTAGTGATTGATGGGGGAGGACCCAGCTCAAAGTAGGTGGTGCCATCCCTGGGCTGGTGGTGCTGCGTTCTACAAGAAAGCAGTCTGAGAAAGCCATGAGAAGCAAGTCAGTAAGCAGCACCCCTCCATGGCCTCAGCATCAGCTCCTGCCTCCAGGTTCCTGCCCTGCTTGAGTTCCTGCATGACTGCTTTCTATGATGGACTGTAATGTGGAAATGTAAGCAAAATAAACCCTCTCCTCCCAGGTTGCTTTTTGGCCATGGTGTTTCATCACAGCAATAGAAACACTAACTAATAAAGGCATGAGTCATGTGAGCTGCAAATGGCAAGGTCACACAGGCCGGCTGTCCAAGCCCCGTGGAACATACATCAGAATACTGCATGCTTCAGAGGCTGGGTGCGAGACTACTGGGTTTGGGCTTCACTTTGGTTTCATCCTTCTTTTCTATACTCTTCTCTCCATTTCAGAGTGGGAATATTCACTCTGTCCCATTGTATGTGTTGGCAGTATGTATTTTCTTTTTGACTTTACGGAAGTTCAAGTAAGAGACTGCTTTGAGTCTCAATTGAGACTGAATTTGGCCTTTCAAACAATTGTAGAACTTTTAAGACTCTGGGGCTCAAAGAGATAGACTGAATGCATTTGGACAAGAGCCTTTGTGGGACAAGGATGGGATGTTGTGGTTTAAAGTGATATGTCTGGGTGTGACGTTGACAGTGAGCAGAATATTTTCTTTTCTTTTCTTAAAAAAAAAGATTTATTTATTTATTATGTATACAGTGTTCTGCCTGCATGTGTCCTTGCAGGCCAGAAGAAGGCACCAGATCTCATTGCAGGTGGTTATGAGCCACCATGTGGGTGCTGGGAATTGAACTCAGGACCTCTGGAAGAACAGCCAGTGCTCTTAACCACTGAGCCATCTCTCCAGCCCCAGAATATTTTCTACATTACTTAATTTTCTCATCACTGCAACCAAATGCTAAATAGAAGTCAATTAAGGGTGAAAGAATATCATTTGGTTCATGGGTTCAGTCCATGAGCTTAGTCCCGTGAGCCTCGGTAAACGTCCTGGGGTAGGAGCAGCAAGCATGAGACAGCTGCTTACTTCATGGCTGACCAGAAGGCAGAGGCAGGGAATACTGGTGCTTATTTGCTCTCTTCTTTCCCCTCTTGTGTCAGGACCCCAAGCCCATTGGTGGTACCATCTACATCCAAGGTGAGCCTTCCTCCCTCTCAGTTAATGCCCTCTGGACACATCCTCAGTCACACACACCCATGAGTGTGCTTCATCAGTCTCCTAGGTGATTCTAAATCTAGTTAGCCGTAAGGATTAGCCATCACAATCACTTCTTTTATTTTTAAATTAATTATCTATCTATCTATCTATCTATCTATCTATCTATCTATCTATCTATTTTGGTTTTTCGAGACAGGGTTTCTCTGTGTAGGTTTGGTGCCTGTCCTGGATCTCGCTCTGTAGACCAGCCTGACCTTGAACTCACAGAGATCTGCCTGTCTCTGCCTCCTGAGTGCTGGGATTAAAGGTGTGTGCCACCACTGCCTGGCTAATACTATTTTTATGTAAATTTCTATCCTTGAGTCCATTATCTATAGAAATTCTAGTCTCTCTGTTGCTAAGAATCAGAACTACACAAAAATCCTATTGGCCCTACTTTCTCCAGAAGTGACAAGGTCTTAAATTTAGATCAAGCCCCTACATTTTGGTAGGTAATGGGGGTTATGTGTAAAATTTGTGTGTCAGTTTTGGAGTGCAGAGGGGAAAGGATGAAATGTGTGCGAGAGTTGATGTCAACCACAGCTCATTCGTAGCTAAGAAGCTACGGGCCCTGGTAGGGAGAGACTGTTGATTTACAAGTCCTCACATCCCAAACCTCCCATCTCCACTGAAATGGAGAGTTGATTATATTGTTTCTCAGTTCATATGAAACATAAATAAGGATGGCAATGGTAAGTCTTCTCGATACTCAACTGACAACATGGGTCAACTGAAAGCTAGATTTCAACCACACAGTTCATCCACAAAACCCAAAAATCTGGTCATTTGGTAGAAAAAACGAGAAATCAGGACAATTTTGAAATTTATCAAGGGTTTTTTTTTTTAATAATACACTTCAGATTGTAGATAATTATCCTGAAGTGGAAATAAGAGAAATGCTTCAGAGAGCCATGCCCAATAAAAGCAAATATTTTTGCTTTTACTGAATCATTTTGAAGACGTATTTCCCATGTCAGTTAGTAAGGAAATACAACCTTATTTCATCCCAACTTTGCTTTTTCTCTCTCTAACCTAACGAGGGTCTTACATGTAGTAGGCACTACAAGTAAGTCAAAGGTACAGCAGCATTACTTAGTATCTCAGTTCTTTAAAATATTTTACATTTTTTAAGCTTTATAATTGAAGTACATTTTTTAAAAAAAATACAGGTAACCAACATGTAGCCCAGGCTGGTCTGAAATTCATGACTTTACTGCTCAGGCCCCCAGATGCTGAGATTCCACAACTAGATTGAAAGCCATTTTTTAAATGGGAATTTTAAAGGTTTTAGCCATAAGTCAGATGGAAATGACTTATTTCTTGCTGTGATCAGTAACTTTCAAATGACTCTAGAATCATTAACTGTTTTAAAAGCCATTTTTGTTCTAACTTTGCCAAACCATAATTCATTAGGCAAGACCTGTTTCATAAATCTCACTAGATATTTGAGTTCTAACAATATATAGAAAATAGCCTGTGTGATTAAAGAGTTATTAAGTTATTATATAATATTTAAATGCTAATTGAAATTTAAGATTATACTAATAAATACTGGTTTCTGTTTCCAATTGCCAACCTGCCTCCTCAGGCAGATTAGAATATACAGAGTAAATAAGACAGTGAAAGAGCCTAATAAAGATTACTGTGTCCTGCAAATAAACACCTTTCACCTTAGCAGAGGGACTAAAGTATTAAATAAAGTATATGTGATTGCATGATTATGCTGTGCTGTTCCAGACTCATTCACGCTACAGACAAGCCAAACTCACGGTAGAGTTCTATACAGCATGATGTTGCACCACAAATGTAAATAATTCTTAAATAGAATGTGAAGATACACTTAGGGCACTCAATGCTGGCTCCTCCATGTCTCAGTTAGACACCAAAGAGACCATTAAAGATGTGTACAGAACTCACAATGAGTTCTAGGACCTTTGCTGCAACTGTTTCCGGCTATTCTAGAGCAGGCTGATCTGCAAGAGCAACTTAGGGATCATTCACAAGGAGTTTGCAGGCATTCCTGTAATTCTCCTGGAGGTGTTTGATTTAGGACACATTAAGTTCCAGTTTACAATGGGAGCCAAGATGACTGTCCAGATTGTATTCCTAGTTTTGTGACTTGAATAAGAAGCAAAGTTGAGTGGCTTTATTCCAAGATAATAGACTAACTTATCTTGGAGAACACTAAATTTATGTATGCCACATAATAAAAGATAGCATCCAAAGCTACCTCAGACTCTGTCAGCAGTCAAGTATGCTGGACTACTAAAATATACAATTTCAGGTTCAACTAGAATATGATGGTTTAGCTTTGCAGTATCAATTCTAAGACCATAGACCATTCTGTGCAATAACAATGGGAACTGGTTTATGGATCGACCCCTGGTTCTACATGTCTGGTATTCTCTATACTGATGCCATCATAACATAGGTAAGCAAGGTCAAAGGACATACGCCAATAGAAATGGGATTGGACTCCCTGGTACTTCTCCAGGAAATAAGTTGATGAACAAACTATTCCATAACCCTTACCTACTCCTTCTTTTAGAAGACCTTACAACAAGTCTTTGAAGTAGACACCAGGACTACAGAGAAAGAGACTGAGGAAAAGAGCAATTAAGAGCAAGTGATGGAGCCAGGGAATTAAACTACAATACAGAACTTTAAACCACTTATTCTAGGGTTCATTGTGATTCTCCAAAGTCATATGGTGAATCTTTAATCCTCAGAATAACAGACTATGACTGTGTTTGGAGATAAGGTCTTTTAATAAAGAGGTAATTCAATAAAGAGGTAGCTAGGTAAATGAAGTCATTAGAGTATTTCTTAATCCTACATGACCAAACCCAACCCAGCAAACACTTTATTCAGTAGCCTCGGGGACTATGAGGAAATAAAAGATTATTGTTCGTGCCATCCAGTCTGTGGTATTTGTTATGGAACTAATACACTAATACAATGTGCCTTTCATGGCAGTGAGTATCACTGGCAAGTGGTCAAAGGCAATTTCCTAATCATTTTATTTCCATGTCAGGATCTTAAAACTTTCAAGTTATTAACTTTTGATGGTAATATATTCACATTCAAAATTCTAAATATTATTGTAAAAGATTATATTGTAAAGCTTCTACCATATTGTCATATTATCTAGTTCCCTTCTAGGCAAAGTCAGTGTTATGTGTTTCTTATGTCATCATCTAACAATATTCTATGGGAAAAAAAACAGATGTGTGCATATATATTCATATCCTTCCCACAGCTGTTTATAACACACATTATATAGTGTCATATTTTCTTATAACAGCATCTTCGAAGTTGCCTTTAAATGGAGGGATTTCATTAAAAACTGCTTATCTTGAGCTGGGCAGTGGTGGTGCACACCTTTAGTCCCAGCACTCGGGAGGCAGAGGCAGGTGGATCTCTGTGAGCTGAGGCCAGCCTGGTCTACAGACTGAGTTCCAAGACAGCCAGAGCTGTTACACAGAGAAACCCTGTCTCAAGAAACAAAAACAAAACAAAATAAGAAAAAGCAACTGCTTGTCTTGAACTGCAGCTTGGGTTCTAGATAAAATCTTTACTTACATTTTATACACAGCAGAAAATGGAAATGCCTGAAATCCTGCACATAATGAACTCACTGGAGAATGTTGCCTTGGTAAGCTTAGACTGGTTAGTGGCATTTCTAATTCTCCTGAAATATATGAAAATTAAAGTTATATAATACTGCATAAAATAAATAAAATTTAGAACTCTTGTAAATAATTATTTGATTTAATCAGTTTGTTGCAATGAAATACTTGTATTAGCCCTTTGAGAATTTAGTACAGTGTTTTAATATTCACCTCTCTTCCTCAAATCCGCCTAGGCCCACACCTCCAACCCATCTTTGTGTCCTACTGTGTTTTTAACCATCAAATCCAATCTGCGCCACTATGTAGTTTTTCATACGGCAACAAAATATGTCAGTGAGAAGAAATTTGGGGGTAGGGCTAGGGAGATAGCTCAGCTGGTAAAGTATCAGAATCCGAGTTCAACCCCAGCACCCATGCAGGTAAAAAGCTGGGCATGATGGCATGCATTTGAAACTGCCGCCTATCCTTGATCAGTGAGCCCAAAGTCCCAGTGAGAGAGCCTATCTCGGAAAGCAAAGAGGCTCCAGGAATGATGCCCAGGCTGACCTCTGGCTTCCACTCACATATATGTGTGCACACACACAAAACACAAGAAATTTAGAGTCCTAGAGATATAAAGTAACAGTCCTAAATTTATATCTACATAAAGAACTACAGATTTATCACCTGGTATCTCAATTATGACAGTGGTGACTTTAAAAGGCTACAATGACAGCTGAACTTTACTGAGTTTTCTGTGTAGGACAAATCTCAAGAGCTTAGTGTATAATAAGAGTTTTAATTCTGACAGCTTATGTTGTCAGCACTTAGGAGATAGGACTATTTTATTTCCACAGTAAATTTTGGCGATGTTAGGGAAATACAGGAGTAATTCTTCACCATAATGAGTCAGGACTCTGGATGTCCTTGTCAGGAGTGTCAAATTAATAGAATGGGCCTGAAAAATAGATCTGCCTTTATTGAAAAGTAGTATAGTATAGAGCAGTAAACACCTGAGTGTTTCCATGTGCTCCAAGTGCAAATGTAACTAAGTAACAGACTCATCAATATAATTTAAAAAGAACACAATCTGGCTTTATTCTGGAACAAAACATGATGCAGAGTTTCCAAATTTGATATCATAATGATAAAATAGTGATAGAACAGAGAATGATGTCCCTGCTCTAAGGAGTGTAACAGGGTGAGCAAGATGGCCTGATGACCTGAGTTCAAGCCCAGGAATCCACATGGTGGAAGGAGAGAGCTGATACCCACAAACTGCCTTCTGACCTCTGTACATGCACCACGGCATCACCCACACCCCACTAAATAATATCTGATTTAAAGGGTGTGTTTTTAAGTATAACAAAGATCAACAAGACTACTAATATTGAAGTGAAATATAGAGTGTGGAGGCTAAAGTGCTGGCTCAGTAGTTAAGATCACTTGCTACCCTTTCATAGAGCCCAGATTTGAGTCTCAGCATCCACACTGGGTGGCTTCCAACCACCTACAACTACAGTTTCAGGGCATCTGATGCCCTCCTTTGGCCTCAGATGGCGCCTGCATACACATGATGTACATACATACACTCAGGCACACATAAAATACTAAAAAAAGAAAGGTATATTTAGTCAGTTATAATTTAAGACTATGTGTAGGTAGGAGTACATATGCATGCACACCAGTGTACAGCCCAGAAGTCAATGCTAGGTGTCTTACTCAATTACTCTCCGCCATATTTTTTAGTACAGGGTCTGTTACTGAACCTATGGTGCGACAGTTCAGCTAGCCTGGCTGCTGGGGATTGCACTTGGGTACTCATGCTTGTGTGGCAAACATTTTACTGACTAAGCTATCTCACAAGCCCCAAGATTCGTACTTGAATTTCAGTAGTATTTCCTCCATTCATCTTCTCCAATATTTGTAACTCTGCTATGTATATGACCCACTTTTGCTGCTGACAAGATCCTGACAGAACAAATATAAAGGAGCAGAAAAGGGGGAAAGACGACAAGTAGGATCACAATGATCAAGGTTTGAACAGGAAAACTGATTCACAGTAGACTGTAAGTGTGAATTTAGTGTGCTTTTACATCATATAGCAAACTCTTAGTAAGTCAATGACTTAGGCAAAAACTCTACCTGGTTCACTGCACTCTGGTTCGCATGGGCTTGCAATAGGTAAGATCTCTGTGGAGTTGCATTTCATATCCTCAGTATCAAATTCATGCTTGGTAGAAAGATCTGAAAGGAAATAGAAGAAACTCTACCAACAAAAGTACCATTAAAGTCATGTTTTGTAACCCTACTCTGTGGCTTTGTCCTTTCAAAGTATCCTTATTACTTTACAGTTTTTTTTCTTTTAGAGAGAGCTGTATACTCTGAAGAAAATGCTGACATAAGAGGTGAATTCCTATTCTCCAAAGCATACTCCTTCTCACTCCTCATACATCAATTAAAACTATCAAAGGAATATAAAAATGAAAAAAAGTCAGCATAATGATTGGAAGCTAAGATAGGGTAGGTAATCCATATGTCATGAACATCAAAGAAAATAAACACTTTGAGAAACCTAATCTTCACCCATAAATGGTGACTTTCTAAACTCTATTTAGCCGGCATTGTACTTGTGGTTCTGGAGATTAAAACCAAGCCTTGGGTATGCTGGGCACTCTGCCACTGGACCACACCTACCTGCACTGGTCTGTGTTAATGACTATCTTTTTTCCAGCTGCCTGGCATATTGTGCCTATTACTTTATTATTGCTATTATGTGTACGTGCGAGGTCGATGTTGGGTATCCTCCTTGGTCACTTGCCACATTATTTTCCAGACAGTCTCTCACTGAACCCGGAGCTCACTGATTTGATGCAGGGATCGTCCTGTTCAGTCTTCTCAGCACTGGAATCACAGGCATGTCCAAGCATGCTTGGCTTTTAGTGGGTGCTGAGCATCAAACTCAGATCTTCATGTTTGTGTGGCAACACCTAACTGACCTAGCCCTCTCCCTAGCCCTCTCATTTACTGCTCATTTTTAACTTCATCCTTTCTTTCTTTGTAACACACAACTCTTGTAAACAGTGTACACATTAATTCCTTGAGTGTAATAGATTTTTTTCGGTTTTGTTTATGAAATTATTATCATATTGGTATGCACACTTAGGCTTTTTCCCCTGCATATATTATTAAGTTGATAATGGTCTTATAGTCGGTGGGATCTTAGAATTACAAAATATATAAAGTGACCGTCAGGAGCAGGCCCTGGGAGAACTGGAGTAAACTGGCCCCGAGCACTTTCCCGTGTCACAGCTCTTCACTAGGTGCTGACTAGGGCACCCAGAACCTGGATAAAAACATGTAGTCTCGTTGTCTTGGAAAATCTGAAGACAGATCCGACTGCACTGGCATTCAGGGTTAAGAGCAGCTGGAGAGTGAATTCAGGAAAGGAGAGCAACAGAGAAGTTCCAAACGCACTATAAATATACTCCACCTAAATCAGAAACCGACTCCTGAACTACACGTTTGGGTGGTGTCCAGGAAGATCACGGAAGGCTAAAAAATACTTAACAGAGACTTTAACTTATTCCTGCAATCGGGGTGAAAAAATTTACAAATATTGAGCCAAGCTGACAACTTACTGTGCAATAAACAAAACTCTCATTAGTGGGACATAGCAGAATTTAAATAAAAGCCACAGGAGGAAAATACAGCTAACTTCATTTTTTTTTTTACATTCCAAACATCACTTTTTACTACTTTATCATGTATTTTGAAATTTGTAATTTTATCCAAACAAATTATTTAAATTAAACCTTAAAATAAACATCAAAGTTTGACAACACAAGATGATGGGGCTTTACCCCCTCAGTTCTTCACTTTGCACCTTATCTGTTTGTTTTATTGTGTCCTTGGATGTTATTAATGCTCATTTTGAAAAATTGCAATGAATAATTCCTCTCTTTATTTTATAATAAGTGAGTTTTGAAGATGCTTTCAGGTTTCTTTTCCAATATCTCATGAATCTGCAGCCATGTGATGTTGCTTTTAGGTTGCAATGTCCATCTTAACTCATGCCTCCAATAAGAATCTAGGGATAGGATAGAGTTTGGCCATAACATATTCTTTCTCTTTTCCCCTCCCTCCATCCCTTTAACTTTGAGGCAGGGTTTGATCACACAGCCCAGGCTGGGCTGAAAGTCATAATTCTCCTGCCTTGGCCATCTGTAACACCATGCACAGGAATTTTCTTCTGTATCCTGGCTTCTAGAAAGCTCATATTCCATCTGAATAGAAATTGTAATTGCATTAGCATGGCGTTGCTTCCTCCTAAGTCTATATAATTTCTTTACACTGTTATCATAACTACATTTTTTCCCTCATACATTGCATCCTGACCACAGTTTCTGGGCCCTTCACTCCTCCCAGTCCCTCTCCTCTCCTCCTCTCTCCTCCATACACTCTCCTCCTGTTTCCCAACAGAACAAGTGACACTGAAACCAGGCACAAACCCTCATGCCAAGGCTGGACTAGGCGACCCAGCAGGAGGAAACGGATCCCAAGCAAGGCACAGGAGTCAGAGACGCTCCCGCTCCCACTGTTGGAGCCCCACAAGAACACCCAGCTACGCGACCATGAGGCGCACGCGGAGGACCTATACAGCTAATGTCATAGTTGACACTTGTCCTCGCTAGGGTTTCTACTGCTGTGAGGAGACACCACGACCACGGCAACTCTGATAAAGGAAACAGGTAATTGAGGGGGCTCGCTTACAGTTCAGAGGGTCAGTCCATTATGATGGGGAGCATGGTGGCATAGAGGCAGACGTGGTGCTGGAGCTGAGAGTGCTACATCTTGACTCAGAGGCAACAGGAAGTCCACTGACCGTCACACTGAGTGAAGCTTGAGAAAAAGACTACAAAGCCCGCCCCCACAGTGACACTTCCAACAGAAGGTGTGGCCCAGATTAAAGGTGTGCCCTCTAGCCTCAAGGTCTGGATTAAAGGCATGTGTCATCCAGCCTCCTCCAAGACCATCCTTCCTCCAACAAGGCCACACATTCTAATAGTGCCGCTCCCTATGAGTTTATGGGGGCCAAATACATTCAAACTACCATAACACTCAAATGTGGAGGCTTATAGACAAGGAAAGATGAGCATGTCCACTTTCACCCCAGCACTAAAAGTCCTAATAGAGAAGTGAGGCAAGAAAGAAATAAAAGACACCCAAACTGGAAAGTAGTCAAATTTTGTGTGTTTGCAGATATTATATTATACATAAAAACGCAAGGCTCTGACAAAATAAAACCTGGAATAAAGAAATTAAATAAATTTACAGGATAAAAAATCAAAATACAATAGTGTGTTGTGTTTCCATATGCTACTGATGAACTATCTGTAGGTCCAAAAGAAACTCAGGACATCAGCACACTGGCCTTCAGGCTCTCTCAGCTTCACAAAGTACCTGTTACAGAGTCCATGCTGGCATTCTGGCTCTTCTCACCCTGCTCCCTACCCTAAATTTCTCCAGCTCAATGGCTTCCCTTCTCCAAGCTTCTCATTCCTATATAACCCTGCCATTTCTCTCTCTCTCTCTCTCTCTCTCTCTCTCTCTCTCTCTCTCTCTCTCTCTCCCTCTCTCTCTCTCTGTCTCAGGGCTGGGAATGTAACTCGATGGTAGAATACTTGCCTAGCACATGAAGGCCCTGATTCCAACTCCAGCGCCAGAAAAGAAGTGATACTGGGATAAATAGAGTCTAACAGTAATGATCCTGAAACTTCAACATGTAACTTACAGAACATCTCTGTAAAGTACTGTATAGTACTTTATAAATACGAACTCAGTAACAAGTAGTTTTTATAAGAAACACATTTCTAAATGAATTCTCACCTCTTTGGGAAAGTTTTTCATTTTCTTCTACATAATCCATTGTGTCAGGCATTGAGTTTAGTGACTCCTTCAGTTCTGATAGTGGTAGGATGGGAAGTTCTTGTTTGGGGGTTGCAGACATTAGGAATTCAAACTCAGAAGGAAAAACTGGGGGCTGAAATAATATAACATTAAAAACTTAAGGGATAGTTCCAAGTCAATTTATTTGATTTCTAAACGGATGTGTTGGTTTAAATGGCACACAAAATTTAAACAAGTCATAGTCTGTTTTAAATGCTATCCAGACTTTCAAAAATAGAGGTTTAGCAGTCAAAAACAAGTTCCTCCTACAAGCAATGCTTTTCTTGAGTAATCTTTTATAATCCTCACTACCTTAGTGATACACAATATCTCTAATTTTGTGTGTATTATCTTTTTGTCTAATAAAAGTTTTAGAAATTCTAAATTAAAAGAATTACACATGAGATATAGAAAAGTGGCACAAACTGAATAGCTGATGGAATGGAGTTCATTCCTACTGCATCCCATGGGATATGTTTTTCTCTGACCACCCCCACCCCCCGCCCACACACAATATTCTTCAACATGTGAGACTGTGCACCACTAGAATTAACAAGTGAAGGGGCTGGAGTCAGTAAGGCAATAAACAACTTACTGTCTTCACCAACTTGTTCACATCTTATTTGTAATGGAACCCTTGAAGTGCCCTTACTGCATTGTGTGTTTGTCCTCTGAACGTATTAAGAAAAGGCCCATGTACAAAATAGTTCAGTTGTCGACAAAACACGATATATATGTTTAAATTAGAATGCCCATAGAGTTCAGTTTATAATTTTTAAATTTAACTACTTAAATTTCTATACCAAGTATAGTAGTTAAATTACTAAAAGAGGTTTGAAAATTCTGTGTCTGACTGCCCACCAGACCAGTTAAATTGGGACATGACTGGGTCAGAGCCAACTTCAACCTCAGCTAAGGTTGAAGATCACTATTTGAAAGGAAATTTGGCTCCATAATTGACACATATTTAAACTAGTATCACAAAATTTTAGTATGGCAGTTGTAAACAGTCAAAATAAATCACCAAAATTTAAAAAAGTGTGCTCTCTTACTTCTACAAATACACTATTGAAAACAAATGTTAAAATTCTATTGAAACATACTAGTTTCTTCTTACAAAAGGTCTCTTCAGCCATATGAAAATCTCTCACAAAAGGTTCCGAACGTTCTTGAACAGAGAAACACTCCCTTAAATAAAAAATCAAACAAGATTAAGTAATGCTTACTAAAATCATTCAACAACTATTGCCAACAAAGCACACAAAGACTACCATGCCCGTTGAGATGAAGCAATGCAACCCTCACCAAGAGCATCTAAACCGGCGCTGTACAAAGAATGCTCTCTTGTATAAAAGCAGTTATAGTACTGGACAATTACATACGTGAAGTCAGCCTTTCCAGAGAGCTGTTCTTGGAAATCTAAAAGTGGATCCTTAACCAGATAGAGCTTTAGTCTGCTCAAGAGAGTATCCACAGTGGGTAGATGATTGTCCATTGCTTTATTTATAAAAATCATTTCCTCATCAATAAGTAATCCTGAAAAGAAATAAGGAATTAAATATCTAATAGTTATACAAGAGATATAGACATTAAGTATTAGTGGATTTTTCAAACACATTGAAATCATTTAGTTTTCCACTGTACTATGTATATAAAACACAGAATATAGGACCCAGACAAAAGGAAAAGTTCAATAAAATGTAGTATTATTTAGAACATGGAGGTGGAGACAAATGTTCTGAAACAGTAGTTTATAATGACATATACTTTATCAACAAAGACTGGCTTAATCAATGGAGGGAAATATTTTCTACTTCAAAATAGTACCAAAAGTTTAAAAAAAAAAAATACAGACTGGCTGAGTCTGATTTTCTGTTTTCTGCATCATTTAATCTGTAAGAACATACAATGAGTGAATATGGTCTGGAGAGCCTACAGATGAATTCACTGACTCCATCATTATAAAATTATCCATACATTGCTGCTACACAATTAATTATAGTGAAAACTATATACTGAAACATCTGCTTGGAAAGGATGACATATTTTACACATTTTAAACATCACTGATAATAAGTTAAGTGATGAACTAAAATTCTCTTTTTATCCCAACCTTCTATGGCTGTGTTACTTTAGAATCTTGGTTAGCTGTATGAGAGTTTCTGAGCTTTGGAAGGGAACAGTAAACTGGCTTGTTTCTCCAGTAAATTTCTTAGTAGAAAGGGACAGGAAAATGTATGCTTAGAGAAGGAAGCACTCAGAGAGCCAAAGACTCCAACATGAGAGCTGCCCTGAATGTGGAGAATGGATAATTCTTTGGTTCTGGGCAGTAGTCCTTCAGTTAAGTTGGTGGCAGCAGGTCTCGAGAGGGGAACAGTATGTAGTTTTTAGGTAGTGATGTCTCTCATGGCCAACTATGTAAGTGATATGTATGTGCCTAGTCAATATGTGACATAAGACAAGCAGCCAGGGAGCATCCCTTGCCTGTGCTGAATGCATGTATCAAAGGAGAACTTGTGATATAAACTAGCTTCCTAAGAGACTGTCCAAGTCATTTAAGCTCCTGCCAATCTCATGACTAGAAGCTCTCTATGAGATACTGCCGAAAGCTCCTCAACCAAGTCCACATCAAAGCAGGGCTTATCTGGGAAAATTAAGGGTTATTTGTGCATATAATCCACCCATTCTGCAAATACTGATGAAGTCATGTTGAGAGTGAAAACAGCATTATTTATATCCCCTATCTCCTTGTTATTCTTCTAATCACAAGCTCTGGGGCTGTCACACCAGATGAGGCCACATTCTGATATTTCTACTGCATGGGGACATCTCATGTCACTGATGAAGTCTTGTTTTCCAAGCATCCCCAATAGTCAACTACCATTTTTGACATGGCCACTAGATGTCAGCATCTCACCACAACCAATGCTGTTAGACAAAGGCTGTTTCACCAAGGCATGGTGGCTTCCTTCTACAACCATGGCTGTGCTGTATTCCCTGGAGTTCTTCCTTCACAGCAACTGCATGTGCTCACACTGTTCTACTCTGCTGTAGACAAATAAGATGCAGGAGATGCAAATCTGCTTAGTTATGAAGGAAGCAGAAAAAGAGGCTCAGTGAGAAGAAAGAAGACAGGACTGTGTTTGCAAAAGATCCTCTGTCCACTTAGAAAACTCGAGTTAACTAGATTACAACAGTAAGAGTTCCTTAAGATTGTGTATAAATCAGGGTTTCCTAACGGGTAACCACTGAGAATCTTAAAAAACAAAAATTGAATAAAAGGCAAGACATTCCCCACGCCCACCCCATCCCCAGCTAGGAAAACTAACCAAAACATCCTAAATGATGTAACACTAATTTTCCAAGAGTTGTGATTTGGAACATTTGGGGAAGGTGACTACAAAGTAGTAAATCTAAACAAATAAACACATGGAGTTGGGAAAAGAAAACAAGAGACTGTTAACATACGTCATAGGGATAGAAGAGCTCAAATGACGTGACACTAACACAGTACACAGCAAGAGAAACCAGAATTAAACTGGAAATGGGCAAGAACTCAACATTAATATCAGCAGCATTTCTAGTGGAAGGGAAGACTCTTCGCTAAATGATATTGGGACAAATGCCAAAATATTTTTAAAATGTCCCTATTTTTAAACATAAAAATATCAGAAATAAAATTATATAAAAAAAATTAGGGGGGCTGGAGAGATGGCTCAGAAGTTAAGAGCACTGGCTGCTCCTCCAGAGGTCCTGAGTTCAATTCCCAGCAATCTCATGGTGGCTCACAACCATCTGTAATGAGATCTGGTGCCCTCTTCTGGCATGCAGGGACACATGCAGGCAGAACACTGTATACATAATAAACAAACAAACAAACAAACAAACAAATAAATAAATCTTTAAAAAACATTAGTGGATGCTGTGGCACACACCTAAAATCCCAGAACTCAGGAGGCAAAGGCAGGTAGATTTTTGTGAGTTTAAAGCCAGTCTGGTCTACAAAGTGAGTTCTACGCCAGCCAGGGCTACACAGCGAGACTCTGTCTCAAAACAAACACCTTAAACAAAGGAAAAGTTATGTGACAAATACAAATAAAACATTTTTTTCTAAGCACAAATGCAATGCAAAAATCTATAAAAGAAAATATCAGCAGACCTGATCAGATTAAAGTTAAACACATTTGGAATTATTGGTGTCTTTACATATAAAAACACATGCAAGTAAAAAAGGAGAAATCATTTCACAAAAGAAAAAGATACAAACAGCGAATAGACACAAATAACTCTTAAAGATGCAAGTAAAATATCTATTTTCCCCATCATATTAGTTTATATTGCATTACCACCACAGCAGCAGTAATGGACAGCGATGATAAGGGTGGCATAAATAAGGTATTCTCATATTATACCAGTGGTGCTGAAGCTAAGAACAAAACCATGCAAAATACTTCTGTCTCCAGGAGTAACCTCAGTGAAATGACTGGGAATGAGAGTATATATCCATGTACCCGTTTGAAATTAGCAACATATATCACTACAAAGAAAATATATTAGATGACAAAGATAATAAAGTGATTCGTATGATACAGGACACCAAAGAAAAACAAGTTACTCATTATTTTCCCTTAGTTAATTGATTTTATCCAACAATAGCTTATTAGCTTGCCACAAGCATAACAACAGCTCTATGTGTTTAGCCTGTTAGTTTTGATAAATCATCTCTCTCTATATATATACAATTTAATATAAATATATTTTCATTGCCACAAAATTTAAAAACAAGTTTTATTAATAAATCAAGAAATATTATAGAAAACTAAAACCATAATTTATCTCCAAGCTCAATAACAACTTTCCCCAAACTGCATCACATAAAAACAATAGTAAAGTAACCTAGTTATTTTTTTCATGCTCAAGCTATATCTTTTCTTTCCCCCATTTTTCAAAACAGGGTTTCTCTATGTATCCCTGGCTGTCCTGGAGCTCACTCTGTAGCCCAGGCTGGCCTCGAACTCACAGAGATCCGCCTGCCTCTGCCTCCCGAGTGCTGGGATTGAAAGTGTGCGCCACCACTCCTGGCTATAGCATTTCTTAAATAGCAGGAGCTATTATACAACAGACCTTCAAGCTTTGTCATTAAACAAAGAACAGGCCGTTATAAGAAAGTCAGTTCTCAAGAAGCTCTGAAGAACTTGGCTTGCTAGAGAGGAGATTTGGAAAGTACTTTGGATAAAACATAATTTTAGTTGATCTGACAATAATTTTTTGAAAACTGGTGCATTTCTTGCCCTAGTCTGACCACAATCCACCTATGATTTGAACTTTGCTTTTATATATATTAGGTAAGACTGAATATCTTTAGGATGTTTTGAGAAATAACATATAGACATAACTTTAGAATCCAAAACTTAATGTCCCACTACACTTCTGTATCATGAGATCTGGACTCAGAGCCAATGACATCACAGAACATGCTGGAACACACCATGATCAAGTCTGTACACGTTATTTTGAGTTTCAGCAAATTTAAACTAAAAGAAATCCATTTTTGTGAAAAGCATATTAATATGAGAGAGAAAATGCTGTTAGCATGGCAAAACTCAGGCTTCCAATCACGTAGGTAGATATTTTAATAAAATAAAGATATTTAAAATACAATTGAACAAAAGTACACAGAAATGAAGCTATATCTGTTCGTAGGAAACGTTTCATCACTTCCTACCTTGGTGCTCTGCTTTCACTCCCGGGTAGTGTGGGGAGCACTTGATAGGTGTAAAATCTTCTTCACAGTCCTTCCTGAGGTATGAGCTGATAGTCTCTATTCCAGTTGGAGAGTTTGGATTGGAACTCGGAACAATTTCCTCAAATGTACCATTAATCATCATTCCTGTAACTGTCTTTCTGTGACATAAAATTATTGATTTTATCTGTGTTTATCTGAAAACATTTTTATTAATAAACAGTATGTGTTTACCATGGAAAATTTGCCAAATTTAATGGGCACTAAGAAAAATTATCTGTAGCCCCACTTGAAAGGAATACAAAATTACACAAATTCCTAATTACTCAGTATTCACATATATAGTGTTCCACAACCTGTTTTTTTTCTACTGAGCTGTGAATAATGGGCCTATTTACATGTTAATCACTGACTTTCTATTTGATTGTCTTTATATTTGAGTGGAGGAACAGAATTCCATTTATCACTGCTCTATTTTAGATCTTACATAACTTCCCAAAGGCCCATGTGTTAAAGGCTCGATTCACTGAGTAGCATTAGTGGGAGGCAGCAGAGAAAATAAAAGATAGGATTAGTTGGGAAGTGTTTAGAACACTAGCAGTATGTCCTTAAATGGGATAGTGGGACTCTGGCCCTTTCTTTTTTCTCTTCCACGTCTGGTCCATGAGCTGAGCACTCTTGCTCTGCCATGTGCTTCTGCCATCATGTGCTGGCTCACCACAGGCCCAAATCAATTGAGCATGCTCAGAAACTCCACACCTGCAAACCAAAATAAATCTTTTCCAAGTAACTTATTTCAAGTACTCTGTTAAGGTGATTGAAAGCTACCACACTTAGTATTGACCGTCATTTATTTAACCAGTTCTCCCTTCCCGGAAGTTGAAGGTTCTTGGGACTGTTATTATAAGCAATAATACAAGGACCATTTTTGTATTCTTATCTAATCATTTCCCAAAATGCACTTCCTAAAAACAGAAGAAGTTTTGGAGAAGTTACACATATTCATCTTTATATATTTATTTGCAGCTCTTGCCACTCATTGCCAGACTTCCATTATATTTTATATTCAACATCTGTTCTTCAATATCACACAGATTCTCCTCTCCTAAACCCCCACCCCATTGCTTTATCCCAGTCCCTGACCTCAGGCAGGCATTCCCTGGGAACCCACAGGCCACTCCTGCCGGGGAAACAGGTAGGTTAACTGCAGATCTTCACCTCTTCCTCAGTTCCTCCAAATCCAACCCCCTAGTCTTATCCCCAGCTCTGTTATAGACCACCTGCTGCACCCAGCCTCCAACTCCAAGCAGGAACTCCCTGCAACTCTCAGGCCACTCAGGCCAAAGAAGCAAATAGGCTAACTACATAGCTCAGGCACTGAAGACAAGATAGAGGAAACGGATACCTTGGTAAAATAAAATGTTAAATCTTAAAAAAAAATACTGTCACAAAACATCTAGGAAATCTGGGACACCATGAAAAGACCAAATCTAAGAATAATAGGAATAGAAGAAGAAGAAACACAGGTCAAAGGCACAGAAAATATTTTCAGCAAAATCACAGAAGAAAAATTTCCTAACCTAAAGGAGATGCCTATCAAAGCACAAGAAGCATAAAGAACATCAAATAGGCTGGACCAGAAAAGAAAGTCCCCATGGCACATAATAATCAAAACATAAACATACAGAACAAAGAAAGAATATTAAAAGCTACAAGGGGAAAAGATGAAGTAACATATAAAGGTAGACCTATTAGAATAGCACCTGACTTCTGAATGAAGACTCTAAAAGCCAGAAGGGCCTGGACAGATGTGCTGCAGACTCTAAGAGACCACAGATGCAAGCTCAGATTACTACACTCAGTAAAACTTTCAATCGCCATAGATGGAAAAAATATAAGCAATCATCTACAAATCCAGTCATGAAGAAGTCACTACAAAGAAAACGCCAACCTAAAGAGGTTAACCACACCTAAGAAAACACAAGGAACAAATAGTCATAGACCAGAAAATCAAAACACAGAAAACACACACACCATTGTCTGAACATGGTCACAAGAATGACCCATGGTAAACAATGCCTTGGGGAACTGTGAGAGAGGCTCCAGGGAAAAGGCAGAGGGCCTTTTACCTCAGGTGCATTTGTTCCCTGGATTGTTCTTGGATGTGATTCATGCCTCCCGTGACCAACATTTACATTTAATTTATAAGACATGTTTATTCTTGTTGGATGTCAGAACACAGCTATAGAACCCGATCTGGTCAATGTGCTCTGAATCTGGACATGGCCTTCTGCCTTGCTTTCATGCTTTCCCAGGTACAATCTATACTAAGTGCCAATCTATACTAAATTTGTCTGTCCTGAGAAAGTTCTGGGAAAAGGCTGTTCTGTTAATATTTAGTATGTGCTTACTGATGTTTATTTACATGTTTTCTGATCATGTTATTCTGAACTCAAACAACCTTCCTCAGATTACTGCTTTCTTTCTTCACTCCTGTATAACGTGCACTCAGACTGAAGGTTGTCTACAGCATTAGACTGCAGTCCACCCCATTCTTTCAGGTCCTCAGATCCCAAGTTCAGCAGATAAAATCTGCAGAGGTTGGCTGAAAGGGCAACACATCAGAACAGCAAAGTCACAGGAATCAACAAACACTGCTTAAGGATCTCTCTCAACACCAATGGTCTCAATTCCCCAATAAAAAGACAGAATAACAGTATGGATGCAAAAAACAGGATCCATCTGCTGGGGATGTCTTTCTGTATGCTGTGAAATGTGCTGCTCTGATTGATTGATAAATAAAACGCTGATTGGCCAGTAGCCAGGCAGGAAGTATAGTGTAGGTGGGATAAGAAGAGAGGAGAATTCTGGGAAGTGGAAGGCTGAGTCAGGAGATGCTGCCAGCCACCGCCACCATGAGAAGCAAGATGTGAAGGCAAAACTGGGAAAAGGTACCAAGCCATGTGGCTAAATATAAATAAGAATTATGGGTTAATTTAAGTGTAAGAGCTAGTCAATAGTTAGCCCGAGCTAATGGCCAAGCAGTTATAACTAATATTAAGCCTCAGTGTGATTATTTTATAAGCAAGCCATGGGACTGAGGGTGCCTGGCAGAACCCAAAAACTTCAGCTACATCCATCGTTCTGCTGCACCAAGAAATAAACCTTAACATCCAGAACAGACATCATCTCAGGGTAAAGGATGGAAAGGGATAGTCTAAGCAAATGGACCTAAAAAGCAAGCTAATGTAGCCATGTTAGTATCTAACAAAACAGATTTCAAGCCAATAGAAACAAACAAGAAAAAGAAAATACAAAGAATCAATGAAACAAAGAGTTAGTTTTTTGAGAAATTTGTTAATATTGACAAACCCTTATCCAAATTAATTAAAAGGCAGAGAGAGATGATACAAATTAACAAAATTAGAAATGAAAAGGGGGTCATAACAATAGACACCAAGAAGATCCAAAGAATCATAAGGACATACTTGCAATGTAAATCAAAACTACTTGGAGATTTCATCTTACACCCATCAGAATGGCTAAGGTTAATAAAACAAGTGACAGCTCATGTTGGCGAGGATGTGGAGCAAGGGAAACACTCATCCATTGCATTGCTGGTGGGAGTGAAAACTTGTACAGCCACTTTGGAAATCAGTGTGGTAGTTTCCTCAGGAAGATGGGAAATGATCTTCCTCAATGCTTCATCTACCACAGAGACACTTGCTCAACCATGTTCATTGCTGCTCTAGTCATAATAGTCAGAAATTGGAAACCACCTAGATGTCCCTCAACAGAAGAATGGATAAAGAAAATCCATTTATACAATGGAGCATTATTACTAGCTGTTTATTTAAAAAAAATGAAATTCACAGGTTGGAACTTGAAAAAAATTATCCTGAGTGAGGTAACCCAGACCCAGAAAGACATATATGGTGTAGGTATTCACTTATATGTGAATATCGGCTACAATCTATAGAATCACAAATGTTAGGTTTAGAGTAAGGGAGTGGGGAATAGACGGATCTCTTTAGGAAAGGGAAATAGAATAGACAATTGTGGATGGGTGGGGTGGAGGCTGGAACAGGAGGATTGAGTGGGAAAGGGAAGGGGAAAGAGAGGGATAAGGGAGGGAATAATGGAGAGCCAGTTAAAATTAAGGGCCATTTGAGGGGTAGTTTGGAAACTTAATACAATAGACGCTTCCTAAAATATATACATATATTAAGGTGATCTAAATGAAATCACCAAATAATGGAGGAGGCAGAGTCCCAACTGGCCATCTCTTGTTACCAAATGAAGCTTCTAGTTCCAGGATTGGGTTACATATAATTGAGTTGTTGGCCAAGAGGTCAAATGTGAATCCCCAAACAACCCAGGCTGTTTCCAAGGCTATAGGTTGCTCTCCACAAACTGAGAGCAAGGCCCTATTTTTGAAGACAACACCCACACAACCCACTGTACATGGAGAAGGTGGGCTGTTGCCTACATACAACCTTAAAGTCTTTGGTACAGGAAGGTATCCTGACACTACCAAAGGAGAAATGTAAACACCAACCCAGCCATAAACTCTTTGATCTACAACGGTGTCCCGCCTGCAACATATGCTAGTGCAATGGTGGTACAAAGCTTGATGGAGTAACCAACCAATATCTGATTTGACTTAGGTCCCACTCCACAAGATGGAACCCATACACGATACTATTGGGCGATCAAGAACCTGAAGTTAGAGAGCCCAGGGACCTAGGATAAAACCAAATACTACTGTTCTAAAAACAAAAACATAGCAACAAAGTGCTTCTTAATGGCATTCTGCTATACTCATAGAGCAGTGCTTTGCTTAGTCCTCAGTAGAGAAGCTTTCTCCGGCAGCAGATGGGAACAAATACAGAGACCTACAGATAATCATTAGGCAGAGAGTGAGAGACTTTGGAACTAAACAGGAGATCTGCATCAAATCCCTCCCTCAGGGCTCAGGGAACCCTGTGGAAGAGAAGGCAGAAAGAGTCTAAGAGCCAGAGAGCATGGAGGACACCAAGAAAACAAGGTCCTCTAAATCAACATGATTGATGTACATATGGAAGCAGAGATTGGGGCAGCCATGCACAGGGCCTGCAAGGGTCTGCAACAGATAGGGTCCTAGAGCTGAGAGAAGTGGACGCCGTGCCCCTATCCCTAACACAGAAGTAACCTCCAATTGATAACGACTTGCAAATGAAAATTTAGTTTGCTTCAAGGGAGTCTCACTAGGAAAACAAACTACTCTTAAGGGTAAGCTGCATGCCCAGCAGTAGATGGCCAACAGAAAACAAACTCAATGGCATCTTTAGAGGTTGTCTTACAATGTCATGTCAGAGTTTTTCCTTTTTAAAAAAAAATCTTATTTTTATTTTACTTATCTGTATATATTCTCATCTCTCCTTTTACCATATATACAATATACTCATATATATTATGGCTTCCCATTTAGTGTTTTTATGGGATTCCTGAATGTGTGAACAAGCGGGTCTCTGTTACTTGTGCCTTCTCTTGGACTTGTATCCTTCTGTTTGTTTTGTCCAATTCCAATGTGTTAGCTTATGTTTTGTCTTGTTTTATTTTATTATTATCCCTTAGAATTCTGCTTGTTTTCTAATGAAAGAAAGAAAGCAGGTGGATCTGGATGGAGGGGAGGGTAAGAGGAATTGGGAAGGGTAGAGGGAAGGGAAACCATAATCAGAATATATTATATGAAAAAAATCCATTTTCAATAAAAGGAAAAAAATCATAGAAAAAACTCTCTAAAATTTCTCCCTTACCCTTCAAGAAAATATAAGGTACAAGAATACTTTAACATTCCCATATCTGTATTACTTATTGAGAATGTTGGCTTATATGTGGACCTCCATAGACTTCTGAATTTAGTCTTTTAGCTAGTGTCTTTAAAAAAAAGTGTTGCTGACACAATCAGTACTTGGCAAAGCACCCAGTCAACTCTCTTCACACAAAGGACACGAAGATCAATGTTTCCTGGTCCCCCTTGTTTCTCCTTTTCCAGCATTAGGTGTTCTCTTTCCATTGGAAACTCCCCCTCTGCCTATACTGGTGTTTCTGAGATGTCCCGTCACACTGTTTTTGCTTTATTTGGTTATCATTCTTTTGGGGGTCATTTACCCACTGCCATTCATTAAGTACTTGAAAATGTTGGTTGAATAGCTACAATGTGCTAACTCTATTCTTGGTATTAGCACTGCACTAGGAAACAAAGTCTTGTTCTCACAAAGTTCATCTGCTCAGAGGAAGATCAACAACTAAGTAAACAATGTCAATGGTGAAAACTGAAATGTACTTAATAGAATAAGATATGCAGACATCAGGTAACAGCCATAACATTAGTTTCTTTTGAGAATGCAGCTAGTGAAAGGCCCATTGAGGAGCTATTTTTGGTAGCTACCTGAATAATGACAGGAACTGAGCCATAAAGGCCTAAAGCAGGAAACACACTTGGTAGATTCTAGGCAAAAGAGTAAGGTCAGAATAACTGGAATAGAGGAGTTAGACAGACAGAGATCAAACCATTATGGACTTTGTAAGACATGGTAAGCACTTAGGATTGTATTCTGTTTGCTGGGACACCATTTGTGGGTTATAGTTAGAGGTATTTCATGATCAGATTTATGTCTTTTTAAAAATGTTTTTAATTGAAATAAATATATCATTTCCCCATCCTTTTCCTCCCACTAGCCCCTCTCATGTCCCCAACTCTTGGTTAATAGCCTCTTTTTCTCTTAATATATTTCTTACACACACACACACACACACACACACACACTTGTTGTTTCTGTGTATAGGTTTCAAGGCTAACTACTCTGCATTGGACAGCCACAAGGGGGCTTGAGAGTAGTACAACTTCTTAGAAGAAAATAAAGGAGTAAATTCTTATGACGTTAGAACATGTAAATTTTTCTTACATATAATATTAAATGCACCCATGACAACAAAAACTACACAAGTTGAACTATATCTAAGTTTTTAAAGTGTGCTCCAAAGGATACCATCAGGAAAGGGAAAAGACAAGCCACAGGACAAAAGTATTTGCAAACCACACACCCAGTGGAGGGTTTGTATCTGGAATATACACAAAACACTTAAAAGCAGGCTTTTGTCCCTCTGGTTTCTAGCTGGGATCAGCCACCGGGAAGCCTTGGTGGGAGATCAAAGGTAGGAGAGGAACAGGTTGGAACATTACTCCCCCCAAACCCTTCTCTGCTGGGCCAGTTTGGAAGTGACAATACACATCCACCAAAGACAATTGGGGAGACAATGACTTCCTGCTGATCCCAACCCTATAGTTATTTTTGTGTTGTCCCCTTAACCTACTAGTACAGCTATAATAAAAAGGACAGATGAAGTATTAGCAAGCATGTGAATAAACCATAAGCTTTATCACACTTTGTAGGAGTATAAGCAACGCAGTTGATTGGATCATACCTGGCAGCTCCTCAAACAGTTAAACATGAGTTACTGTATGACCCAGTAATTCCAGTGCTAGATAGCTGTTTACAAAAAACGTGTATATGAATGTCAGCAGCAGAATTACTCATAATTGCCAAAAGCAAAAACAACCTTAACATCTTTACTAATGAATGGGTAAGTAAAATGTGATACATCTATACAGCAGACTATTATTTAGAATAAAAATAAATGAATCTGGATATAACCACATACTGCCAAACTGCCCTTGTACTTTATATTCAATGTCTGCTTCTCAATATCCTTAGACAAACTATTATATTCTGTTTTGCAATCAAGACCCAGTTTAAAAAAAAATGAGCTAAAAACCTAACTAGACATTCTGTAAAGGCAGACTAATGGCCAACTACATAAAGACATGCTTAAGATAATTAGCCATCAGGAAGATGTAAGTCAAAACTACAGTTATGTCTCTTATTAGATAGCCCTTTTCCTATAGCTGTAGCTCTTGCTAGGTTGGTGACTGCTCTATCCTCCCATGCCTTCAGGCATGTTTTATTCTCTGACCCAAATATTTTGTGTCAAGGAGGCATCTCCTCAATGCCAAGCTCAGACTCAATTCCTGCCTTTTTGTGAAGCTGATATCTCCTACTTACATATGCACAGGCCTACCATGTTAATTGAACAACAGTCTTAGAGATCCTTAGACCAGCAGCATGAACATCTAGGAACAGATTTTAAAATGTAGACTCTCAGGCCCCAATAGACACTGACTGAATCAGAAGTTGTATTTTACCGAGATTCTCAGGAGAGTCACATATACAGGAAACACTGGTCCACTGTCATCATACCAATGACGAAAGTGAGTGAGGGGTAAAGTGAATAGTCAAGCTGTTAGCACTGGAGTTTTTCAACCTTTAATTCACAGTGCACTGAGCTGAGTACACTGCATCTTTCAGCTTCCTCACTGTTCAGGGATTACTCATGTGGTAAACATGTCCCATCGGTCTTGTGTCCTACAATAGAGCTCATATTAGTCATTTTATATTTTCACAATGTTAATTTTTTTAAGTGTACATATGATGGGTGACATCATTCTGTATGCTGTGAATATGTGTTGCTCTGATTGGTTGATAAATAAAGCTGTTTGGCCAATGGTGAGGCAGAATAAGGTTAGGTGGGACATTCTAACTAGAAAGAGAGGAAGGAGAACAGAGCAGAGGACGCTGCTAGCCACCGCCAAAGAAGCAAGATGTAAAGGTACCAGTAAGCTGCTATGGAACGTCATTCTGTATGCTGTGAATGTGTGTCGCTCTGATTGGTTGATAAATAAAATGCTGATAGGCCAGTAGCCAGGCAGGAAGTATAGGTGGGATAAGCAGACAAGGAGAATTCTGGGAAGAGGAAGGCTGAGTCAGGAGTCACCAGCCAGACACAGAGGAAGCAAAATGACAAGGCAGAACTGAGAAAAGGTACCAAGCCATGTGGCTAAACATAGATAAGAATTATGGGTTAATTTAAGATACAAGAGCTAGCTAGCAAGAAGCCTGCCATGACCATAGTTTAAAAATAATACAAGCCTCTGTGTGTTCATTTGGGTCTGGGCAGCTGCGGGACCATGGGGCCGCAGGAGCTGGATGGGATCAGATAAACTTTAGCTACATATATATCATATTCTTAACTTGACTAATAAATGCCTAGGTGACACAAACAGAATATTTGGGCACACTTAATCCAGAGTCTAGACACAATGAAATGTGTTGGGTTTTTTTTTTGTTTTTTGTTTTAATTGCAATGAAGAAATATTTAAATTTTAAGATTTTGAAAATATGAGTAATAACAAAAGTCTGATGCACATTCCACATGAAATAAGCAGTTAACCATTTGGATTAATACTGAGAAGTGTAATTTCTGCACTAACAGTGTACAACAGGACAGTCATCTTCCCTTTATGACTGTCCACACTCCTACTTCTACTGTGGGCTTTGCACAGTGACTGTGACGCTGCTTCTACGTTTCTGCTCTGTTTTGGTTTTTGAAGGTGTAAGTATACCTTTTGTTTTGTATCCTGTATACACACATGAATATGCAAATATGTGAAGGATGATTGAACTAAAATAAATAATATTGATAAATACACTAGAAAATGGTCTTAAGTCTGCATTTTCACTAAAGGAACTTTAATATTAAAGAGTTTTGCTTATTGACATATTGACTAAAGGTATAACACCACTGGTTAATTTCTGCATGTCTTTTGTAACATCAATGAAGAGAATCATAATGAGAGTATAGTAAGTGAGGGAGGATAAAAAAGAGGCTATAAATAACTTCCAGCTAGCCTCTTCTTTGTGCTTGCAAAGAGGGCTTTTCTTCAGACTACAGTAGAAAATGTGTGAGAAGGTAAAGGGCTTTTTCAGGTGTCTGAAGAACTTACTGTTTGTCTTCTATAGATAAAGGGAATGTGAGATTAAAGGTACATACTTCTCAGGAAAATCCTCCACACAGAACCTTGTTGTCCACTGCTCCAAGAATGAATCATCTGTCATTTCCGGAACTGAAATAGCTGAGGCCCAAAACAGTCAACATTAGCTTCTAAAACATCCTTTTATTCTTAATATAAGAAAGCCAAACATCCATTGTTTTCATTTGGAGTTACCTTTACTTGTTCACACATATAATTAATTTTCCAAAGTGACATCTGATTCTCATCATTATAATCTGCTTCCCCCAAACTCAATCACAGTCAAGAAAGTATCATCTGAATATATTACTAACACCCTCCTTTACACAGCTTCTCTTTGCTTAGATATCACTATGCTCAGATAATCCTGTTCAACAGTTCATGCTCTGCTTCATAAGGCCTTCATTAAGCATGCCAGTTCTCTCCTTGAAGGTCCATAATATGGGTAGTAGAACTCTGGTATTTAATCATACACAGCTTTATATTGAAATTTAAATGAAATTAAATTCAGATTAGATCCTTGATTCCTTAAGAACAGGGACCAGATCATATTCTTGCTCCAGAATATGCAACTATGCAACTGCACAGTCTACCATGAGTAGTCTCCCGGTCCCAGTCTCTCTCAATGTTACTCCTTCCCGGTTTTGACGTTACATCTTCATCCATGTCTCATAGAAAAATATGATAGTGGTCTCGGGTGGCAGCACTGACCACAGACACCAGCTTGACCTCTGGTGGCAGCATGGACGATGGAGGTCTCTCGAGGAGGCTTAAACCCCAAACTGAACTGTTCTTCACCTCAGATATTTTGTTGTTGCTCAGAGCCAGGTGATCTTGCAGCTGGGCAGCACATTCTGCGTGAGCTCCAGGCTGCTGCATACCACCTTGTTGGCCCCACTTGGTGACCCAACAATGGTGTTCCCACACCTGTCACTGCACAGCTGCATCTCTAATTCTGCCTGTCTTCACGCATGCCACTCCATTCTACCCTCTTTCCCCCGCTCTCCATCAAAGTGGCGGTACAGTTTTTTTGCCCAAACAGCTTTACGTGCAAATACTTATTCCAACGAGTCATTGGTCTGGTTCAAGGTTTCTGGTAAACACAACTATAGCTGAGACCCATCTCTGATATCCTGCTGTTCCCATGAGTCAGGGTGACTGACCTTGAAGCTCAGCAGCACATCTGGGGGCAGGATCCACTCCAGCCCCAGGCCAGTGCACACTTCCCTGTCCTTGCCCTCCCTGCCTGCCCCCATGAAGGCAGCAGTGTGAGCTGCAGCAGTGGTGGCTCCATGCTGTGGGCCTGGCCCACTGAACTGAACCTCCCTGCAGGCCTAGGACTGACCACTGAGCAAGACATCCTCCTGTCTGCCTCCAGTTGTGCTTCTCTCCACCGTATGCATGGCTCCCCTCCACCATCTTTTGTGCCAATTTCACGAGACCACTTTTTAAAAACATCTTCCATGAGACCTGCGCTTTTTTAGTTGTTCTGGAAACATTGCACGCTCTACAGACTCATCTTCCCCTGCCTCCGTGGGTCTGCAGTCCCTCTAGTGCCGGTAGCCGCCACCATCTTGAATTGAGTACGGCTTCATTTTTAAATTTTACTTCAAACAGGAAGTACTTTTATTACTGCAAGTCCTATTGCTCTTTTCAAGGTACTCAATAAATTCTTTAAAAAAAGAAGATTTTACACCATACAAGCACTCTCTTCTTACTATACTTCAAGGCTACAACGTGTGTAGAGGTCAGAGTCAGTTCTCACCTCCATCACTTGGGTTCCAAGGTTCAAATTCAGGCAGTCAGGTTTGGCAGCAAGCATCCTTACCCACTGTGTTGTCTTGATAGTCCCCATGTCTCTACTTTCGACTCCCAGCCCCCAACCCTTCCCAATCAGAATCGTCTTTTCTGAAATATGATTTGGGTTCTTTCCTTCCTTTTCTTAAAATTGTCCAATGGTTTCTCATATTTACAATTTTATTAGCCAGTTTGAGCTGCTATACCGCAAATACTAGAGATTAGGTGACTCAAACTAAGAACAATTACTCTTCACAGTTTTATAGGTTAGGAAGTCCAATAACAAGACACCAGCAGATTCAGTATCTGATGGAGATTCTCTTCTACTTCACCTTGCTGTGTTCCAGACAGAAAGGACAAGAGGAGATCCTTTGGGATCTCTTATACAGGAGCACTGACCTCCAGCTTCATGACCCTTCTTCCAAACAGTCACAATGGGGCTTAAATTCACACATGCGGTTTCGAGGACACATAAACATTCAGTCTATTGTTTTTATAAAAATAGACAAAAAAAGTCCGTATTACGTTCTACAAAGCCTTAGACAACATAAAATTTGCTCACATCTCAGCTCTCCTCCTTTTCCTTACTCAGTCCTATGGCCTAATTTTTCTAACTTACTACACTGAACTTAGAAATCACTTGTAAGATACAAAAACATACCTCTTGTCCATGGACTCCTATATTTATCATCAATAAAATTTTTATCTTGATTTAAACATGAAGGGATCTGGAGCAATAAAGCATCTCTGAAAAGCCTTTCTTTAACTTTGTTCTGTATGAAAATGTAAAATAATTTTAATATATACTAATATAATTTTATATTATAATAATTTTAATATATACCATATAATTTTAACATATACCAATATTCAGATTATTATTGTAAGTTGATATAATTTTTCTTTAAAACTGATACATGTCATAAAAAAGTCAAATTAAAGAACCATGTACCTGAGAATAATATCAGCAAGTTGTCTTACAAACATTTTTTCTATGATACACTAAAATATATATGTGCTTGATAAAAAAAAAAGTATTACATCATTTAGCAATGTGGTTTTGCTTCCATTAACCAGCATAATGCCACTGTCTCAACTTTTGTTTTCTATGCTAAAACATGAAAATCAGCTTCTAATTTCGAAAGTAAACCTAAGGAAGAAAACTCTTCCTTTAAAAAGATGTTAAAGGTGGTCATAGTGGTGCAGCTTGTAATCTCAGCCCTTGGGAGGCTGAGGCAGGAGGATTATTAGTTTGAGGCCATTGTGGGCTAAATACAGACTATCAGCCCCGCTAGGACTACACAGCAAGATCCTTTCTCAATCAAGCAACACAGAAAGGATGTTATCAGTTGAATAAACCTGTAGATTAGCTCAAGTTGTCCTGACTCTTCCCTCGCTTCCCAGTGTTAACTCCCATGACTTTGTGCCTCCTCCTGCCATCCCACCCCCCACCTTAGCACTCAGTGGTCACAACACCGGTCTACTCTGTGAAAAAGAGCTGCTGTTCTATAGCTGTCTATCTCAGTGTAGGCAGCATCTCCTTCATGAAGTCCTCTCCAGAGACTCCGACTTCTTGTGGAATTCATTATTCCATGTACCTGCAAAACTGATCGGTTTTTTGTTGTTGTTTATGTTTTATGCTGCTGAAGGTGTTACATTCAGTAAGAGGTTTTCATTATCCAAGAATAAGTGGTATAAAAGATCATTTAATTTGACCCATATAAAATGAGAACCAAAGATACATGTAAACAGGAAAAAGAAAACCTTGACTAGTACTTCATCTAAAAAAGAAAGTTTTAAGAAATAATTTACATCTAATAAATGTTGTTTACAGTTGCTTCTGAGGCAATTTTCTCATAAACTATATTTGATGATACAGATGGCATCAGTTCTCTTCTTTGATCATAGGGAGATAATTTGTGAAAACATTTGAATTATTAAGACATTGAATTAGTAAGTCTGACTCCTTGGATATTCACATCATTTTTCTTTCTATTGTCTGTTAAGCAATTCTACTTTGCCAGATCTTTATATTGTTATTTGAGTGGCTCTTAATACATCGTCATCAACTTTATAAAGTCTCACACCTGCAAGATCTGACATTTCTCAGCATCACATCACAGAGTGCAATACACCAGCATTACTAAGGCACCAGGAGTAAGAAGAAATCTTTGAGGACTTTTGAGAAACTGCATTTTTGCAAGTAATCCAAGCATATGTTATAACTACATATTTGTGTCTCTCAGTTATGAGAGAATAAATAAAACCTGGAGATGACTATGTATATTTCTTAATCCCCATAAAATGTAACATAGTTTTAGTTTACTGTAATATTTTTGTACTGGTAGATGGGCAGGTTAATGTAATAATGAAAATGAAATTTTAACTTGTCATTTAAGATCATAAGAACAATAAACTATTACATGACCTCTATCTCCTGCAATACATTCATTAACAATATACCTGGACTTGAATTCACCTCTGACATTTTTCCAAGATACTTAGCTCTCTTGATATTATTCTGCTAACTGCGAAGCTTTAAAGTCTGTAGAGTAATAGTATTTGATGTGTGGGGACTTACATTGATCAAATGACATCATCCATTAGATGGACAAAGTATCTGATTCATCAAGACATGCTGTTATTGTCACAGTAACAATGACTAGGATTACTTTTGTGCCCATTCTTTTTTTTTATGTGTGTGCTCTTTTATTTTTTGGGGATGGGGTATCACTATACAGCCTCAGATGGCTTGAAACTTATCTTGCTGTTTTAGCTTTCCAAGCACTGGGACTACATGTCTCTTAAAGGAGGATCACTTCAGAATGTTAATAAAACCTTCCAAACTTGCCAAAAGTCTTGTTCTTCTCTTCAGGTAGTTTCAGATTTATTTTGCTATTCAACTATTTTAATTTAATTTAAAAGTCCCTTACAAAAGTGGACTTTGAAAGAAATATTAAAAGTTGAAACTAAGGCTGGGCATGATGGCGCATGCCTTTAATCCCAGCATTTGGGAGGCAGGGGTAGGTGGATGTCTGTGAGTTTGAGGCCAGCCTGGTCTACAGAGTGAGTTCCAGGACAGCCAGGGCTACACAGAGAAACCATGTCTCAACAAAGAAACAAAGAAACAAAAACAAACAGATAAAAAAGTTGAACTAGGGCTGGTGAGATGGCTCAGAGGTTGAAGGCACTTCCCCCCAATGCTAATGACCTGAGTTTGGCCCCCAGGTCTCTCTCACACAACAGAAGACAGAATCAACTCTTGCAAGCTGTCCTCTTAACCCCTATATGCACACCATGGTAAGAGTATGTACACACACACACACACACACACACACACAGTACTTAACTGCTATAAAAACCTAAGGTAATTTTAATGGATTCTGAAAGCAACTAAAGATAAACCTATGAATTGCTGAAAACTATCACATGCTAGATACACACAACATGTTCCCAAGAATAATTCTTAGTAAATGGATAGCGAGTCCGTAACATCATACCTCATGTAAATAGTCTACTGCATGATATTTGAATGCCGAAAACATAGCTCTTCTCTTCAAAGCTATACAGAGTGCGATATCTAGAAATACAAAAGTTAAGTGTAAAATAGCAAAGCCAAGAGGAGAAAATCTCTTTTAATCACAAGTCTTTCGTTCACTTATTTTTTCAAAAGGTCCTAAATGATAAATGTAAAGTATAAAGTAACATTTATTTTTGTGGTTGAAAATCTAATATGAAAATAATGTGTACTGGTATACATTTTTCTATATTTTCTCTTGTCATTTAATTCATACAAGTTGGTGAGTTCAAGTATGTTTAATATGATAATTGTGTTGAAAAGAGGCTAGAGTGGCAAAGACTGACACCGTATTTTATACAGGGTAATTGTGTTTCTCAAAGATTTTGAAATGAAATAAGCAAGGCCATAACTCTGTAATGAAGAAATAGAGGGTTGGAAAGAGGACTCAGCAGTTCAGAGCACTTGCCAAGGACCCAGGTTTGAGTACCAGCACCCACCCGACACAACTGTCTGTCACTCCAATTCCAAGGGACCTGAAGTCCTCTTTTGATCTCCAAAGGCGCTAGTGCACAGACCAGCACTTGGGCAAAACACCTATATGCATAAAATGAAAATAAATAAATCTTTAAAAAGTAGTAATACAGTGCGTTGACATTAAAAGTTTTTCTTAAAACCTATTAAAAAAAGAAACAGAGTAAGAATCAGGAAATTATATCCATTCTCTTACTTAAAAAATAAAAGGCCTGAAGTTAGAATTCTCTAATAGCTAGTTCATTCAGAATAAAGCAATTATTGTATGATAAAGCTACCAAGCCAACAGACTATCAGAAATTCAACAAATCTACTGAATAAAATAATAAGCAATTATAACAATTAATTAAGCCAGGATGGTTCCCACATGAGAAATCAAGGAATTATACCTCAGAAGTTACTAAGTTTATCAAATAGTTCTTAATATCTCTGTCATTTAAAATGTCTGGAAGGAGTGGGATGTTGTGATTCATGCCTCTAATCTAAGCACTAAGGATGGGGAAGGTGGATTTAGAGTGCAAAGCCAGTTTGGGCTACCTAGCGAGGCTCTCTCTGAATAAAGTATGTGGGCTGCTGAGATAGCTCAATGGTAAAAGACTTTGACAAACACGCTCAAGTCTCTGGGCTCAATATCTATCCCTCCAAAAACAAATAAAACGACTGAGACTTCAGGGAATTCAGATGTCAGCCAGATGTTTATATTTTATATAATAGTTTACTAATAATGTCTTATTGAATTAAGTACATATTTTAATATAAATGCTCACGGCCTAGTGTGGTAGTTTGAATGGTTTTGGACCCCATAAAAGCTCATAGGGGGTGGCACTATTAGGAAGTGTGGCCTTGTTGAAGGAGGCTGGATAACACACACCTTTAATCCAGACCTTGAGGCTGGAGGCCACACCTTCTGTTGGATTAGCGTCACTGTGGAGGCAGGCTTTGAGGTCTTTTTCTCAAGCTTCACTCAGTGTGACAGTCAGTCCACTTCCTGTTGCCTGCAAGATGTAGGACACTGGGCTATTTCTCCAGCACCATGCCTGCCTGCATACCGTCATGCTCCCTCCATGATGAATTGAACCTCTGAACTGTAAGCAAGCCACCACAATTAAATGTGTACTTTATAAGAGTTGCCATGGTCATAGTGCCTCTTCACAGCAATCAAAACCTAACTAAGACATCTAGTGTAATTATTATTTCATGTTTTTGTGTTTTACCTGTTGTCTTATATAATGTGAAGTTCTGAAGTCTGAAGATCTGAAGATATAGCCTGGGTGGTGGTGGCGCATGCCTTTAATACCAGCACTTGGGAGGCAGAGGCAGATGGACCTCTGAGTTTGAGGCCAGCCTGGTCTACAGAGTGAGTTCCAGGATAGCCAGGGCTATAGAGAGAAACCTTGTCTCAAAAAAACCAAAAAAAAAAAAAAAGGAAAAGGAAAAGACCTGAAGATATCATCTCTAGGAGAGGACTATAATCTACCTGTTTCCAGTTATCATCAAGTGAATACTCTTTTTGTAAAATTTTTGTTGCATTTTTATTTATAGTGTATGTGTGCACAATTGTGCCATTGTGTGTGTGGAAGTCAGGGGACAACTTGTGGGATTCTGTTCTCTCCTTCTACCGTGAGGGTCCCGGGCATCAAACTCAGATTCCTCAGGGCTGCTGGCAGGTGCCTTTACCCATCTCACTGGCCCAAAGTGAACATCCTTAACTATTCAACTTGCTGAGGTATTTGAAAACAAATAAACTTCTAAAATAATCCACAACACAATAATTTTGATTAATAACAGAGAAATTTTTAGATATTACAGTCTTTCAATTAAATTGAGCAAATACATAATCCAGATTAGTTTTAATACTGACAGAGTCTTAAATACCAGTAAGTATGGTGCCAGTTAGGTACTACACCTACTCTTAATGCCAACATGGCATTTTTAAACTGATAATTATTTCTGAGAATATTTATAATCATTACATCTCTATGCCTTTCCATACATTGCATCACAGTCTTTGAAGAGAACACTGATTCTAGACTTTTCATTTCTTTTTTAAAATCTGATTTATGTGTATGAGTGTTTTGTCTACATGTGTGTCTGTGCACCACCATGTATTTGCCTGGTGCCCCTGGACCTCCTGAGATGGGGGTTACCGATGTTGTGAGCTGCCATTTGAGGGCTGGGAATCAAACCCAGGTCCTCTGAAAGAGCAGGCAGTGCTCTTAGTCACTGAGCCATGGCTCTAGCCCCAAATTTTCACGTCTTAAAGTTACGTTTTTTCAGAAAATTATGACTGTGTATCATTATATAAGTGAGTTTAAAGACTAAAAAAATAAAAAGAGAAAGAAAGCACAACTCTTAGCTTGCCCACTCAATTTGTGGTTAGCATTTATTTTCAATTTTCTGTCCTTATTTGTAAAGCCTAGTATTTCTATCAGCTTTAGATTATTCATCATCATCATCAACTATTTTGAAGAAAATTGGTTTTTTTTGTATTGACATCAATCATTGACAGTCATGCTCTGAAGTACTTAAGATACTGCATATTACATTACTAACAGAATTTCATCTGCCAAGTCTATTGGATTGAAGAACAGGTATCTGAACCCACCTTAGTTTGTTGGGTAGATGGGAAGAAAAGATAAATTGGCTTTATATTTAAAGACCAATCATAATCATCGTCAAGATTAATTTTTTTCTTATTTCGTTGATTTCTGAGACAAGGTCGCACTATGGTAGGCCTCAAATTCAGAAAGAATCTGCCTCTTGAGAGCAGCTAGAAATAATTTGTTAAAAGATTAACGTGTAAGCCGGGCAGTGGTGGCACACGCCTTTAATCCCAGCACTCCGGAGGCAGAGCCAGGTGGATCTCTGTGAGTTCGAGGCCAGCCTGGGCTACAGAGTGAGATTCAGGACAGGCACCAAAACTACACTGTCTCGAAAAACCAAAAAACAAAAACAAAAAAAACCCCCCAAAACCCAAAAGATTAACTTGTAGCAATTCTGCAGGTTTAATTTTAAATTCACTTCTAAAGATTTTACTTCCTCTCCGCTTCCTCCTACAGAATAATGGTTCAAAATGGAAACAGAGACAATAATTAGGTCAGGCTCTTGGACACAAAGCTGGGGTAGTTGTCTGTGTTAACACCCAAGATGAGTGTGAATCTTTCGAGTTTTAAGCCGCATCTTCTCCCATTTCATGAAGGCATTCTGGAATTTTCTCCCCTTCCACACTCTCTCACATAAACCACTTAAGAGCATTTTTTTTGGGGGGGTGGGGCGGAGGTGGGGGGGGCATATAAAATTTGTAAAGGAGGCTCGTGTTGTTTACTTTCTCACGACCTATGCAACTAGCTGAGTGGAAACCACGGGCCCGCCAGGCCCTCCATGTTCCAGCTGCCCCTAACGGACTGGGCAGAAGCCGGGTTCAAGATCTCGTCCCTGCGCGACTCCATAAACCACGCCTCGGAAATCTGTTTTCTAGAGAATTCCGAGCGGCCGCCGTACTTCAGCCTCAGGGAATCTTTTCTTACCCTCCGCTAGGGCGGACCTTCCTTCTCTCACAGGAGGTAGAACCTCCCGCTTTGGAGTCCACAAGAGGCAAGTTCCCCGCCCATTGGACACGTGACCTCAGATGGCTGCTGAACTCCACGCTCCCATTGGTCAGGTCAGACTCCGCCCTCTGGGTTGGCTCATCCGTTGCCCGGATGTGACGGTCTGGGGCGGTCTGACTGGCGTCCCAGAGCCAAAGCCTGTTGCACACCCTTGGTAGGCTGGGTGACAGAGGCGATGGCGGCCGGAAGTCAGGAAGAGCCGAGTCTGGCTTTATTCTTAGCCGGGCTACCATGTTATTAGCTAAAGTCTCCAGAAGCAACGCATGGCCAGTAGCTTTGCACGGGTAACTTTCAGAGGATTTAGCAATCAGATGGCTTCAGAGAAAGACGAGAAGGCAAACATAGGCGTGTGTGTGGCCAGGTGGTTGTGCAGTACTGGAGGAAGAACATTTGAGGTGGGGCAGGAAATATTCTTTGAATGGGAATGTGTGGATTTTATATCTTGATGGATAGCCACTCCCTCGCACATTCTAGCGTAGAATAACTAGACCTCCCTGATAGAGAACAGCACATTCCTTTGTGCTTCTTAACTTCTGCTTTCTTTTTCATGGTCCCGCTTGGCACTGAGCTTCTTCCCAGGAGATTGCATGAAGTAATGTATATTTATTTATTTTACTAATTCATCTCTTTCTTTCTAGTTAACATTGAAAAGGTGATTGTGACACACCAGGAGGATAAGCCGTTCCATTTCCTTGAGTCACTTCGTTCTAATTTGTACAGGTTTGTGCAGTATATTCCAATAATAGGTTTAGCAACAATTTTATAGGTGTTCACCTACCGGGGAATACATTTCATTAACACCAAAATTATGTAATTTTGCTAATTAGAAAAGTATACAGACTCAACTAGAACCAGTAAAATCACCCAAAGATATGTGCAGAAGAAGGAACCCTCATTTCTGACCTGACTCCCAGGTAAGGTAACGACTATTAAAATCTGGGTTACAGGTCCAGTGAGATGGCCTTGCAAGTTAAGGTGCTTGCCACCAAGACTAATGACCAGAGTTCAGTCCCTGGAACCCACAAGGTGGAAGGGGAGACCTGACTCCCACAAGTTGTCCTCTGACATCTACAGACTGGCTAGGACATGCGTTCCCCTCCCCATAGGCACAAAATAACTTAAAAAAACATCTAGGTTCTGTCTTTTGATACTTTGCATGTCGTTACAAAGCTACACCGGTAGGCATGTACAGAATTGGTTGGCCAGAAATATAAAAAATGAATAGCTCACTTTCATCACTAAATAATTCATGAACAGCTTTCTAGGTCAGCATCCTTCCATCTAACTCATCTTTAAAACAAAAACAGCTGAATAATAAGGTATCTCATAGTAACTGTGTGCTACAATTTATTCAGATATGCTACAACTAATGATTGTTTCCAGGATTTCATCTGAACAAATAATGTCACAGTGAAATTCTTAGAAATCTGCTCTTCAGTAATTTCTATGGAATGTTTTTTTGATTTGCTGTCTCAAGTCATGAGAGCATTTCAACTGTGATAGATACTTTTTGTTTATCTTCCAAAAATTTATAGCAATTTATATTAACAATGCCAAGAGGGATCATATTTATGAATACACAGCAATACTGAATATATTGCTTTTCAGAAAGTTTTGCCAGTATAACATATCAAGTACTTTATATTTATTTCATAATTGAACACTTTTTAGGTGTTTATGAGTCCTTTGGTGTTCTTCTTATACAAATTGCCTAGAATATGTGTATATATGTATGTATGAGATTAGGCAATTTTTCTGTTGGGTGGGTTGTCTTTTTAAAAATCTTGGGCCTGTAGTAAGTCAGAATATCACATCAAGCAGTGTGTGGTTAAAGCGAAGTTCTTCATTTCACTGCTGGAAGAGGAAAGGACTGGACTGGAGTCCCAACATCCCTTCTAAGGTTATGCCTAGATAAGTATATTAGTTAAAATAAGATCTAGCTGTATAGGGCTGGAGAGGTGGATCAGCGTTTAAGAGCACTGGCTCCTCTTCCAGAGGACCCAGGTTCAATTCCCAGCACCCACATGGCAGTTCACAACTGTCTGTAACTCCAGCTCCAGGGGTTCTGACACTGTGACACATAGACACAGGCAAAATGCACTAGCACAAATAAAATAAAAATAATTTTAAAAATCTAGCTGTATAAATAACAAGACATTTCAAAGATAAGAAGGTCAGGATTGATAGAACAGTTCTGCTGTGCCCCCCCCCCCCCCAGCCTTCTGGTGACATCTTTCTTCTGTCTCATTACTCTGATGGCTCTGTTGTGGTCTGAATCCTCATGGTCTTAGAGAGCCAGTGTTTAGGAGTTAGTATGATAGAGGAAAGAATGAAGTACAGGCTACAGGATCTATGTTTCTTTGTGTATCTGCAGTTTTAATTGTAAAATATGATATTAATATACAAAAGTACATAAGACAATATATTATTTAAAAAATATGTTAAGA